TAATATCAATCCTCTAACATGGCAGTGAATGCTAAACATTTTTCTAAGAAATGTAAAGGAGACTTGAGGTGTTTTAGCAGAAAGATGTTGATAATACCATGGATAGGGCATGTACGCAAAGAGGAAGTTTTAATGCAAATGGAAATGAAAAGGTCACTTGTAGTTAGAATCAAAAAGAGAAGTTGAAATTTCTGGGAAACAATGAAGAAAGGAGACTTGGAGAATGTGATGCTCACAGGAAATAATGAAATCAGGAGTGGCAGAAGGAAACAGAGTAAACTACTTAATGAGAATGTGAAAATGGATGTCAGAAGAGGGAGTAGACAAAGACAACACGCAACTCGACTGTAGAAGAGCTAAAAGTCACACACGCACCAACACCCTATTGGCAATTGCCAACCAGCACGTCCAAAAAGTCACACGCACCAACACCCTATTGGCAATTGCCAACCAGCACGTCCAAAAAGTCACACGACCAACACCCTATTGGCAATTGCCAACCAGCACGCCCAAAAAGTCACACGCACCAACACCCTATTGGCAATTGCCAACCAGCACGCCCAAAAAGTCACACGACCAACACCTATTGGCAATTGCCAACCAGCACGCCCAAAAAAAGTCACACGCACTCAACACCCTATTGGCAATTGCCAACCAGCACGTCCAAAAAGTCACACGCACCAACACCCTATTGGCAATTGCCAACCAGCACGTCCAAAAAGTCACACGCACCAACACCCTATTGGCAATTGCCAACCAGCACGTCTAAAAAGTCACACGCACCAACACCCTATTGGCAATTGCCAACCAGCACGCCCAAAAAGTCACACGCACCAACACCCTATTGGCAATTGCCAACCAGCACGTCAAAAAGTCACACGCACCAACACCCTATTGGCAATTGCCAACCAGCACGTCTAAAAAGTCACACGCACCAACACCCTATTGGTAATTGCCAACCAGCACGTCTAAAAAGTCACACGCACCAACACCCTATTGGTAATTGCCAACCAGCACGTCTAAAAAGTCACACGCACCAACACCCTATTGGCAAGTGCCAACCAGCACGTCTAAAAAGTCACACGCACCAACACCCTATTGGTAATTGCCAACCAGCATGTCCAAAAAAGTCACACGCACCAACACCCTATTGGCAAGTGCCAACCAGCACGTCTAAAAAGTCACACGCACCAACACCCTATTGGCAATTGCCAACCAGCATGTCCAAAAAGTCACACGCACCAACACCCTATTGGCAAGTGCCAACCAGCACGTCCAAAAAGTCACACGCACCAACACCCTATTGGCAAGTGCCAACCAGCACGTCCAAAAAGTCACACGCACCAACACCCTATTGGCAAGTGCCAACCAGCACGTCCAAAAAGGGTAATGCAGAATCATTCTTAGGATGAGGAGTCATTGATTACCAGCATATATCATAGGTCCACTTTTACTGGTTTGTACACCAATTGGAATTCTTTTGACTAAGTCCTGTAAAGTTAATCTTTACTTTGGCCCACCGTGCTTTAATAATATGTTCACCTTCTAAGTTGAAGAGGAAATTGGTGAACATTTACAATATTGTCTGGGCTAATGGTTACTTGGAGAATGTTGTTAAATATATGGTGCCGTGTAAGGTTTCCTGTGGCTTTTTGGACCTTTCCTTTGTCCAGTTTATTTAAAACTACCATGGCTATGTATGAGTAGTCAGACACTCTCCAATAGAGAGTCAGCAAGTGTGACTTCTAGCTTTTCTAATGTCAAGTTGTGTATTGTCTTTAGTACTATTGTGCTCTTCCTATTTTTTGCTAAGGATGGTTTGCCCTACCTGCAAAGTAGTTCTGTTATTTATCAATTTAAATATCAGTGTGAGACTGACTATATAGAGTGAACCAAAATGCAGTATATACGACAGGGTGGGGTCAGCAACAATATTTACAAATTTGTGAGTCAGCAATTGGACTACATTTGGTGAGCAACTTGGGTTGCACTTTGAAATAGTCTGACAAAGTGTTTAGGGCAATCAGTGGTTAACTGGGGCTGGAAAGGGCTTGTAAATCTTAATGCCTCCAAAATGAAACTGCTCTCATTTAACCACCATAGAGAAACTCTCTGGCCTGCCAACAGCATGGCTGATGCTACACTCATGAAGAGCAACACACTCTGCCTTCTTGGCCTCATGTTTTCAAATGACTTGAAGTGGAACACCTATATCAAATCAATAGGAAATTTGGGTCACTGTGTCATGCCAGAAAGTTTTTTCTTATCGGAGTCCATCTTGCACATTTACAAATCTACCATTCATCCGTGCATTGAATACTATTTCTAAATCTGGTCTGGTGCTCCTGTTACTCATATCAATGTTCTTGACAAAATCCAAAGAAGAATCTGCAATGTAATCAATTCTAAATTGGCATCACAACTTCAGTCACTTTCTCACCAACATGACATGACTTCACTGTCTTCTACAAATATTTTCATGGTTACTGATTGATCTGATGAGCTTTTTTCATGGTGCTCGGACTACATATAATTAAGCATGCTACTAGATTGGCATCTAGGTCCCACTCTTTTACTGTTGAATTAGGTAAATGTAACCATCAATTCTACTCCAACAGTTTCTTTTCTCGCACTCTGCGCCTGTGGAACACCCTTCCATTTCTTTGCTTCCCTAATAACTACAATCTTCAAAAATTTAAATGCAACATCAATGACCATCTTCTATCTTCTTGAACCCTGTTCAGCTTTTATCCTTTCCTTGGTCCCCCTATAACTAGTCTTTTCTCTCACCTTCACTCTCTGTAACTCCCTGCATACTAGTGGCATTCCTGCCTTGATGGGGTGAAATGATTAAAAAAAAATAGGAAAAGAAAAGTAATGCAAACAAGAGTATTGAAATTCATTCTCTATAGCAATCTAATTTGTGATTTCTCATTGGTTGTCCAGAGAGGCGTGTTTCCAATTTCCTGTACCTGCTTGCTTCATTTCATTGTGTGCCAACCAAATGTAGCTATTGCACACCTCACAAAAAGTTACAATAAAATATCAAACAAGTCTAAATGGCATATCCTTCAACTTTATTGTTCTATAGCATTTTCACTTGTCTTTATTAGGCATCATAATTGAGATAAAACTAACCTAGAGATTCAATAGAAGTTTTAATTTTCACTTATGCAAATACTGACTAAGAAATGAAATCACTGAGTTGCATACATAGCAATAGGAGGTTCAGATAAAAGAAATCACAACTCCAGGGTTGTAATTTCAAGGACCAAATCAAAATGGATAAAAAATTCACATTACAATTCACAAAACACAAATACCGCTTCATCCATGAAGAGCCAAGACCATATTGTCATCTGAAATAGCATTCTTCGATTGGGATAAAAAAAAAGGTATAATTGGTCAAGGCTTGTATGAAAGTGCAAACAAATTTCCATATTTCGTGGCCTACAAATTTTCTTTTCCAACAGCTAGCACAACAGAAAATGGGTAAAACTTGGTTCTCACCTTTGTCGCCACAGATATATGACACATTCAGTTGTTTTTGTAAAATTGGGATTGCAATAGTGCTTTAGTGAGATCTCAAACTGAATCATTTTCTAAAAACTAGATATTTTGTTTCTGAGAACCAAAATTGAAGGTTCACATTTATCACAAATAATATTTCGACTTTTTGCTGATTTTTTTTTAGGGAGAACGTGCAGGAGATGTAATAGCAGGGAAAAATCAAAGAACTGAGTCCAAATTCCTGTCAAGTTCATTACATTCACTAGTGTGCAAATACCTATGGGAAAAGTATGACTCCTCAAGCTATGGGTAAAATAGAAAGGTAAATGAGGACAACTCTGAATTCAAAACTGTTTGTGACCCTGATACTGTGATAGGGATACCTTGAGAAAGATCCCTATCAGGTTTCAGCCAAAGTGCTTCATCAAAAACAACTCTCTGAACAAGAATTCTGCAAAGATCCATGTAATGTATTATACAACTATTTCATTTTTTTTTTTTTTTTTTGGCTGATCAATAAAGTAATAATGGTCCCTGACTTGTATAAATAAAGTATACAGTGCTCCCTTTCATAAATAACCACTCCATGGCTACTGCACCAAAAACACTTCAACATTACATATCTAAATCCAAAAAATTAATCCATTTCTTGGATTTTAATGCTTTTTAAAATGCATCTAAAAAACAAAAGATGTTTTTAAATTATTTAAAAAAAAAAAAAAAAAAAAAGGGCAGTATGTTTTTTTTCTTTTTTTAATGAATTGATACATTTTCATAAAACAAAATACAGGTTTTATCAAAACAGTGTGACTTTATACACTAAAATACTTTCAAGATTTTTACCTACGGAAAATAAAGATTTTGGTTTCATACAAATAAATAAAACTATATAAAAGCAAACAGCCAAGTCCGGGGATTGAACTCTATATTATTTCCCCTTGCTATTTGCAGAGGATTGGTGCCAGGAACCATTTACAGATACTAAAATATGTCGATGCTCAAGTCCTTTATATAAAATGGAATAATATTTATATACATATCATTCATATCTTTCTCCATACTTGAAATCGTCTAAAGATTATGTATAATACTTAATTCACACTGTAAAAAAAAAAAAAAAAAAAAAAAAAAAAAAATTATTGGGAAAGCTACACCTGGTTGGGAAAAATCCAAACATACATAAAAGCTAATTTTGTCATCAAAATCTTTGTAGTATTTGTAAGAAAAAATATTAGAAAAAAAACTTCAAGATATAAAAATCATTTATACACATTACAGAACCAGAGGTACCTGGGAAAAGTTGCTCACCTCAAAGAAAGAGGGGAAAAAAAAAACAAAAAAAACACACAGACACCTTTAATTTTTTAAAATTTATCAAAATCAACTAATCATTACATTTTAATACAAAAATATTAGTACCAATTTATTAAACAGCAAATTTTGTTTTGTTTCTTTTTCTAAATTTTATAGGGGATAAATAAATATGAAACAATGTAAGTGAGAGTGAAAGAGAAAGAATGGGAAATAGAAAGTCAGTGAGAAAGAGAGTGAAAGTGAAAAAGTCAGTGAGAAAGAGAAAAGAGAGTGACAAAAATGACAGTGAGAGACAGAGTATAAAGAAAGTAAGGGAATGAAAGAGAGTGAAAGGCAAAGAGATACAGAAGGGAGAGTGAAAGGCAAAGAGATACAGAAGGGAGAGTGAAAGGCAAAGAGATACAGAAGGGAGAGTGAAAGGCAAAGAGATACAGAAGGGAGAGTGAAAGGCAAAGAGATACAGAAGGGAGAGTGAAAGGCAAAGAGATACAGAAGGGAGAGGAAAGGCAAAGAGATACAGAAGGGAGAGGAAAGGCAAAAGAGATACAGAAGGGAGAGGAAAAGAAAAAAAAAGGTGGAAGAGAGAGTGAGAGAAAGGAGAGGTGGAAAAAGAGAGAGCAAAGAGAAAGTGGAAAAAAGAGGAGAGAGCAAGAGAAAAGGGTGAAGAGAGAGAGAGCAAGAGAAAGGGCGAAGAGAGAGAGCAAGAGAAAGTGGGTGGAAGAGAGAGCAAGAGAAAGTGGGTGGAAGAGAGAGCAAGAGAAAGTGGGTGGAAGAGAGAGCAAGAGAAAGTGGGTGGAAGAGAGAGCAAGAGAAAGTGGGTGAAGAGAGAGAGAAAGAGGGGTGGAAGAAGAGAGAGAGCAAGAGAAAATGGGGTGGAAGAGAGAGAGAGAGCAAGAGAAAGTGGGTGGAAAGAGAGAGAGGAAGAGAAAGTGGGGAAAGAGAGAGAGAGGAAGAGAAAGTGGGTGGGAAGAGAGAGAGAGAGGAAGAGAAAGTGGGTGAAGAGAGAGAGAGAGAGAGAGAGAAAGGGGTGGAAGAGAGAGAGAGAGAGAGAAAGTGGGGTGGAAGAGAGAGAGCAAGAGAAAGTGGGCGGAAGAGAGAGAGAGCAAGAGAAAGTGGGCGGAAGAGAGAGCAAGAGAAAGTGGGCGGAAGAGAGAGAGAGAGAGCAAGAGAAAGTGGGTGGAAGAGAGAGAGAGAGAGCAAGAGAAAGTGGGTGGAAGAGAGAGAGAGAGCAAGAGAAAGTGGGTGGAAGAGAGAGAGAGAGCAAGAGAAAGAGGGTGGAAGAGAGAGAGAGAGGAAGAAAGTGGGTGGAAGAGAGAGAGAGAGCAAGAGATAGTGGGTGGAAGAGAGAGAGAGAGGAAGAGAAAGTGGGTGGAAGAGAGAGAGAGAGTAAGAGAAAGTGGGTGGAAGAGAGAGAAAGTGGGTGGAAGAGAGAGAAAGTGAGTGGAAGAGAGAGAAAGTGAGTGGAAAAGGCAGAGAGTGAGAAAGTGGAAGAGAGAGTGAGAGAAAAAAAAAGAGTGGAAGAGAGTGCGAGAGAGAGCAAGAGAAAGTGGGTGGAAAGAGAGCAAGAGAAAGTGGGTGGAAGAGAGAGCAAGAGAAAGTGGTGAAGAGAGAGCAAGAGAAAGTGGGGTGGGAAGAGAGAGCAAGAGAAAGTGGTGGAAGAGAGAGAGAGCAAGAGAAAATGAGTGGAAGAGAGAGAGAGCAAGAGAAAATGAGTGGAAGAGAGAGAGAGAGAGCAAGAGAAAGTGGGTGGAAGAGAGAGAGAGCAAGAGAAAGTGGGTGGAAGAGAGAGAAAGTGGGTGGAAAAGGCAGAGAGTGAGAGAGTGAGAGTGAGAGAATGCAGAGCGGAGACAAAGCAAGTGAAAGAGTGAGAAGAGAAGAGCAAAGCAAGTGAGTTAAAGCCAGCGAGAGAAAGCGTGTGAAAGAGCGAGCGAGCGAGAGAAAGCGTGTGAAAGAGCGAGCGAGCGAGAGAAAGCGTGTGAAAGAGCGAGCGAGCGAGAGAAAGCGTGTGAAAGAGCGAGAGAAAGCGTGTGAAAGAGCGAGAGAAAGCGTGTGAAAGAGCGAGAGAAAGCGTGTGAAAGAGCGAGAGAAAGTAAGTGAAAGAGCGAGAGAAAGTAAGTGAAAGAGCGAGAGAAAGTAAGTGAAAGAGCGAGAGAAAGTAAGTGAAAGAGCGAGAGTGAGAGAAAGTGTGTGAAACTGAGAGAAAGTGAGTAAAAGAGAGAGAAAGTGATTTAAAGAGAAAGTGATTTAAAGAGAGAGAATCTATGAAATGACAGGAACTCCCATCTCTTCATACACATGGATTCAGTAGAGTTAATTTATGAAACTTTTAACATTTAGTTGTTAAACTGTATTATACCAAATATAATTTGAATAAGGTAAACTAATAACAGACTTTCAAAAGGAAATGTATTTATTGTTAGCTGTAAAATTTATTGTTGTCAATTTTCCCATCTTCAGTTACTATGGCTGTTTAATCATTAAACCTTGTCTGACAAGGTAGCGAACAAGAAAATTTATTTCTTTTCAGTCTTCTCACTTTGACAATGAATTAGATTCAAGACAATTTGTGGATAGCAATTGAGGCCATGAATCAATTCACAACAAATTGTGGATACTTTAAAGTAAAAATTGTCCTGGAGCAGCTGACAAACTATTTCACTGAGATGACATAATGCAAAAATTTTCCAGTGGTTAACCATCAGAAGAGAGTATTCTTCAAGACTGGAACAAATTAGGTCATAAGAAAGCAATAAACTGACACACAGTAAGCACTGACAAGCCACTGGCTATGGCATTCAAAATTTGACGTGTGATTGCTCATTCATTTTAAATAGAAAGTCAACCACAACAAAAACATTTCGGATAATGAAAGAAATAAAAGATGAAAGACAAAGACAATAGAAGTGGATGATAATAAAATTATTTTTTTTAATTCTATTTCCACACTGAAACTATAGAAAAAAAAAAAGAAAAATATTGTTGGACCATTATTATCACGTATGTGTCAAATAAAAATAACTATATCTCAGATTTAAAATGGCAACAGAAGATTACAAAAATAAGCAAATCTGCAAATAGATAATTACCAACATGCAAACAACTTTTTTTTGTATTTTTTTTTTCAAAATTAATGAAGAGAATTTAATATTTTACTTGTCACAGTAATATTTAAAGACAAATCAGAAAAAAAAATAATTTTTGGTGGGAAATTAATGAAAGTGGGAGGATATAATCTTGTTTGGATTATGAAAGGATCTAAAGACAATGAGGTGATTATCTTTAAGAAACAGTTGTACTTGTAGTGATTTACTAAGCATAGCTTAGATGTGGCACAAGGCCAAATGTATGGAGCACTAAGTGAGGACTGAATTCACTACTCAGTCATAATTGATTTAGTGAGATACACTTACTAACTGTAACATCACGTCAAAGTTCTCAAATGATTTTCTAAGCATAGCTTAGATGTGGCACAAGGCCAAATGTATGGAGCACTAAGTGAGGACTGAATTCACTACTCAGTTATAATTGATTTAGCGAGACATGCTAACCATGACCCAGTTTTGATTGTATCTCCATAGGAGATATACAGTCTGAAAGTTACCAGTAAATTTTTAAAGGCATCAATATCTTAGAGCTTGAACAGCTACCGTATATACCCTATTATAGTATAAATTTTTATGATCAGTTTTTATGCAATAAATGGGGGGGGGCACACTATATGCAGGTAATTTTTTGAAGAGGTTAAAAATCATACATTTTTGGTGACCAGATTTTTCTCTGGAGGGGTTAAAATTCATGCCCAAAATTTGGAGGTTGCCCTATACATGAATTTGGCCTATACACAAGTGTTTACAACAAAACCATTTGAGATGTAGGATACAAAATTTAGAAATAAGATACGGAAGTTAGAATGATTGGACCAGAGTTCAAATCTTACTTGAGGCAATTTATATCTAATATTAAAACGCCTTTCTATATTTCTGAGATGAGGTATTGTAATTATTTACACTATTTACATTGTTCAGACTGTTGTCCTCATCATTGTTGCCATGTTCATGACGTTTTGGCTGTTGTACACTCTAGTCTTCCTTAGGTGATTGGAATTCTGAACCAAGCCCTTTATTGCATCCACGCAGGTAGATTGTTCTAGTTCCACATGCCATGCCTTTTCTGGATATTTCAGTATCAGTTATCTCACTGATAATTCTCAAAGTCTTTGTTCACCTCTGCTGTAGCCAGGTATTGAACAAAAAGGAATGCCTATACCATATAGCCTATACGTAATCTGACCAGAATATATATATATATATATATATATATATATATATATATATATATATACAGAAAAGAAAACGAGAAAGTAAAATTTAGATATAATTCCAGTTTTGAAAGGGTTAATATATATTTTAATTTTTTTATCAACGCATTTGCTTTTCCAGTGTATTAAAATACAAAATAAAAAAATAACTACTTACCGGCCATTCTTGACCATAGACAAAGATATGGCTTCGAGCAATATCAACCCGATCCCAGGTCAAAGTGAGACTTAGTTGGTCAGGTGCGCTAGAACTTGCATCTTGGTTAGGAAACACCATCACAGCTGAAGAGAAAGAAACATTTGGGAAAATGTGAATTAATTCAATATTGTCAGACTTAATCCATTTCATAATATATATATATATATATATATATATATATATACATACACATACACTGTATCACAGCTCATCAGTGTGGCTAGACATCCGATTGCTTCAAGCCAGGATCAAAACTAAACCAATTTGACATCAGTAAGAGACTCTACCCCTAAACTATCCGCACACAGCAGAGAAAGAGAATCTTTGACATATTATATATGTGATGTATATAAATGCTAAATCAGCAGCCAGAGTGCTCAATTTATACGAAGAGCTGTGCATTTAAGCAGGAGCAGCTACTGTTAAAAATTCCCTTTCTCCATAGTGCACAATCAATAAAGACAACAATAAATACAAAAATGAACATTTACATGAGAATTTTAAAGATGAATTGTCAATATTATAATATGCCTTTCCATTTACGCTCTCATCTTGGCTGTTATACTCACGTTTCATTAACTGTACACCTGGCCCTCTTCAGATGTTTGTTATCATAATTGGTTATGGTGAATAAAACTGAATACAAACAATCTACTCCCATGAATTGAATAAAGGATTTGGTTTAAAATTCCAAAAAAGCTGTGAAGTTCAACAAATATCTGAAGATAGTCAGAAAGTACAATAGCCAAAATGTTATGAGCATAACAACTAAGATGAGTATACTAGTTCAAATCAAAAAGTATATTTGTTATATACTAATTGGTTCAGACTAATATCCTCTTCTTTCTGTTATTATCATATTCCAACTGTTATACCCTCCAGTTTTTTCATGTCTTTCTCATAGTTGTTAGCTTTTGGAGAACTTTATAATTTATTTAATCCATCAAATTTCACTAGCCATGCTAGAGGATATTGCATATAGATTATTTTTTATCCACAGTCCATTTGAAGTTATTATGTAAATCACATAAACCTCAATAAATTTAGTTTGCCCTGAAAAATATTTGACAAATATTAAACAATGCTTCAACTTGTTTTATTAAAGATATCAGATTTATTATAAAAATTGCAGTCCGAAATTGTTATGCAGCTTAAACTAATAATAGTTTAAGGCCTTTGAAAAAATACTATTTTCTGTAATATATGTTGAAACACGAGTAACATGAATCTCACAAATGCTGAAAAGCAGAAAATAATGTTACTGAGTGAGGGAATAATGTCCACATTGGAGATATCAAAGGATCTTTGCAGAGATTATCAAACAATAAAGAGGGCTGTTGAAAATATAACTAAATTCAGAATTAGAAACAAAAGAAAAAGGGTTTAAGAGCTTATCTTTGAGAGGGGAACATAAATTAAAGCAAGTTATAGTGAAAACAATCACTTTTAAACAGTGCACAGATCTTTGAAGAGGCTGAAATTGAGAGAGTCAAAAAAGGTGAAAATGTGTAGAATACTTTACAAATTGGGATCTGTCAAGAAATCTTCTTGGCAAACTGCTCTCAGTAAAGCAAATAATTTCAAGTATCAAAATTGGGTCAAGAATTACATGAAAACTGACTTTTCTAAAAAGTATGTATGAATCTCAGGTGACACTTGATGGACCTTATCTTTTATCCAATATAGTTGTGTCTGTGGCTAAAGAAAGACAGCAAGGAGGCGGCAGTGAGAGAATATGGGCTGAAATTGTCAACCAAACTATTATTGTACCATTCAAAGTCGATGAAGGAGTTAAATTGAACAGTGTTAACTATTTCAATTTCATGGGCAAGACTTTCTTTGAATGGCACAATTCCCAGCCTCACAGCTTCAAAGTGAAGAGTATATTTATGCATAATAATACTCCTCCTCATGTATCTAATGTTACTCAAACTTAATAGAAGGTTTACAGGACATAAGATAATGGAATGGTCACGATCAAGTCTTGATCAGTTGTAAATATGAAATTATAAGAAGGTAGAAAATAATATGACAGCAAAGTAAGCCTATGGGATGCAATTAAAACCACCATATTGGACACTGAACTGAATGAAGTATAAAATTTAATGAAGTCAATGAATGAACTGCTGCCTGTTATTGAAAAAGGGTCACTATATTAAGATGCAAATCCTTCAAAGATTTATCACATATGTTATTTGTTTTATTATAGGGTTTGATCAAGTGTTGATTTTATTACCTTGTTATCAAAGTAAAAAGTAATTTTCTAGTTTTATATTATAACTTCAAACTACAGTTTTTATAATAAATCCAATAACTTTAATAAAACAAGTTGAAATGACCTAAAAAATTAACTCAAGTATGTTTTGATGCCTAATTATTTAAAATTTGACAAAAATGGTTCAAAGCAAATTCAAGTTATTGCAGTTTCTGTGATTTATATAACTTCAGACAGACTGTAGTTAATCTATCTCTTTGACAACACTTACTTCTTCTACTGAACTAGAATATATGACCTTTTATACTATCCAGACCAGAGATTAAACTGATAACCACTAATCAATCTCATTCTTTTAATCAACACTTTTATTCCCTTAGTCATCAGAGACATAGGACAAATTCAGACAAAAATTAAAATGAACATATTCAATAATACAATTATTACATTAAAAAAATGTCACAAGACATTTATCGCTATAAAACACTTATTCAGAATTTCCGAGGAAATTAAATTTCATTTAAATTTTTTTTTAAAGCTACCAAAAATAAATCTGTTAGCTGAAATGTCTGCAACTAAAAATTTTCTATATGCATAATGTAAATTTAGTTACCAAACCAAACAATATACAAAAGCAAAAATACATTGATTTCTTTTTAAGTTGTGACAAAAACAGATTAACAAAAAACAATTAGATGCCATTAAAAGTAGTTCTGATATAAAATAACTTTATGCATGTATTTTCAGTACAATTTCTATGTGAAATATTCTTTTAAAACATAAGTGATCATGTCTTTCCATAATTTCCTTTTTGTAATTTTTAGCAGTACTTCCACCTTTACCGCCTCTCTTGTTCAACTATACATTTACTCAAACCTGTCAAGTAGGCAATCTACTATTTTCCTTTTCTTTTACTTTCAATACATCCTGAGTTTTAAGTTCTCCAAGCCTTCTTTCCCCATTATGTGTCACATGTACTAAATTCTCCAAATATTCCTTCTTAAACATGTCATGAAAATTCCACCATTCTGATTGTGAGCACTGGGTTTCCTTGTAGTTCCTATTTTCCTTAGAACTTCCTTAGTTATCACATGGACAACCATATTATCAACATTTGCTAGTAAAATCACATCTGTTATTTCACATCTCATCTTCATACATAAGAAATATTTTGGACTTTTACTGCCTTATGAGAGATTAGATATTACATAGCAGTCCAGCACTATTCCTTGTACTCTGCCCCATTGTCAGATATCTTAACATAAAAAAATAAAGTCTTTGTTAATCATGTCAAGATGATTAACAAAGAAGAAAGTGGATGTGTAAACAGCTGACTAAATCATTTTCCCACAAGTACCTTACCTGGCTAGGTTGCCATAGCAAAAGCTGTTACATTCATGGTTAACCTCGAATCAATTCGATAAAAAGAAGTGAAAATATAGGTCAGTGATGAATTAAAAAATGTTGGAGAGAACAATATTTCCATTGCATATATAAATATGTACAAGGAAACACTGAAAGAAAGTTTTACAGGCAGCAGAAGTTGGAAGGGTAGACCACCTGATGATTATAGGCCTATTATTAAAAGATCCTTCAATAAAAAAAAAAAATAACACACCTTACAATGACCAGGTGATGCTGCAACTGTCAAACATACAATAAATGAAGGGGTAAACATTTTAAAAAGTTCAAGATGAACAGTGTTGGAAAGTCATTAAATACACATTAACTGGTCTTTTTTAGCAGAAATAATTGTGAAGGAAGGAAATAAAGAACAAAAATAGTTTAGAAGAAAGTAAAAGCAAATATATTAAGTATTCAATCTTTCTTGCAGTTCAAGACAAGAACATGGGGCAGTGGCCATGTGATTGACTCACAATGTATTCAGGTTGAATACAAAGCTGAAAGCCAATTGTTGGTCTTTTTGCTTTATTCCTTTTTGTAGCAATTTCCTCAATAGTTTAAATTCCAACACTTTTGTTAAGTGCTCCAAACAGAAACAACACAGCCATTATATCCAGAGATTATTAATGTATGAAATTTAATTGAAAATTAATCCTGAAATTTTGGATTCCCAAATTTTCATTACTGCAATTGTTTTTGGATTCCACCATCACAGCTTCTGCTGATAAAAATAATTAAAAGGATACAACTGTCTAACTTTCAATAGCTCATGTTCAAATGAAAAAATTACTGTTCTCAAATTACAGTGGTCCAAAATAAAATTTTCAGTGTTTTCAACTTTACTCCTAGCATCTATAGCCCAACATATCATAGTATTTTGGAATCAGGCCAACTGTGAGCAAATTAAAAACATTCCGGGCCGGATCCACAATCTTGAAATTTTGGATTCCCAAGTTTTCATGACTGTGATTGTTTTTGGCAATTTTTTACATGATTTTTGCAACAAATTTTCTTGTATGATAACAATTTTTAATGTGGAAATAAATTTGGGAATAATCAAAATTGTGAAATCCAGTGAAAGTCACTCATGAAATAAAAATAACAGTTTGTATGGAAAGTAAGGACCTACATACATCAAATTGCCTTTAAATTAAGTGGTGGCAAAAGAATTATTGTTGAACTTTTAAAAGGTAAGCTTAAATATTAATGCAATACTTAAAATGCAGCGATCAGTTTTGAGTTCTTCTGTAGTTTATTGTAGCCTATCGGATCTACTCCTTCCTGCCTATTGTAATGAAGGCCCAATGAAGAACTCTCCACAGGAGCTAGCTTAAATGCTGCCTGATAGGGCAGCTTTTAAGTTCATCACATTCATAAATGTGAAGCTGAAATACAGTGAAGCTTTATCCTCATCTTGGACCCTTATCAATATTCTGATATTTTGATTAAAAAATGATAAATCTGTAAGTTTTTTCTCATACAAAATAACAAATTTGGCATCAATATATAGTTGCTATGCTAATCTAAGTCTGGCTCAAGGCTGCAGTATCCAGTAAAACTTACAATGACTTGAAAGGTGCCATATATATATATATATATATATATATATATATATATATATATATATATGTATGTATATATAAAAAAAAAGACCATATTTTAAATCAATTAATTTATAATATATATATATATATATATATATATATATATAGGGGAAGCAAACCATCTTTTATACACGTTTCATTAAAGATGACTGACAAGATACAGCAGTTAAGTTTTTTTTATTTAATTTTCCTTGTGTTCTTATAATTTTCTTCTTTTCTGGATGTAAATTATGTAGAAACTGTTCAAATGTTTTGTATCTCTAAGAACTTTCTCCATAGTTAATATAGCCTTGATAGTGGCTAAAAGTATAGCCAACAACATTTGGACAATTTTTATATAATTTATGTCCAGAAAAGAAGACGTTATAAGAAGACAAGAAAAATTAAATAAAAACTTAACAACAGTATGTTGTCAGTCATTTTTACTGAAACTTATATATATCTGATGGACATTCCATTTGTCTTCAACATAAGAGGGACCTGCAGCTCAGTTCTTAGAACAACTAAGATATCACATGCATATGCATTCATTATAGTAGTGAAAGCTTCTGTGGAACTATCTATACTTTTTGGAAGAACTAAATACATAGAACTGGTGCACACAGTGTACCACGAGGTTGCCAAAGTCTGTTCTACTGTTTAACCCATAGCTAGAGGGGGAAGAAATGGATCCATACCATTCTGAAAGGTATTTGTACATGTAAATGCCTATATGAAATCTACCCAAATCATCAACATCATCATTTCATTATTTTGTTAGGAATTTTTTTTATTTGTTTAAAAATGCATAAATGCAAAGTCATAATAAAAGCAATGAAAATCTAGAAAATATTTCTACATTATCAAAAACAAACATCTTTCATTATTATTGACTGAAACAGTTCAACAATTCCAAAGACATTCTACCAGATAAACAGGAAAATAATTCTTACTGAATTTCAAATGATTTTTTTCAAGTGTTTTATTTTGAATGGGAATCCAAGCAGTACAAAAATTTAAAGAAGAATCCTTAACCTACTTGAGATAAAAAAAAAAATTTTTTTTGGAAAAACCAATAAATTTCTGTAAATAAAATACAGAACTTTTACAATCTTTTATTATTGCTTTATTTGAAAAATCAAAGAAAACTCACAAAGTAGGAAACAATTTGCCATGTGCAAAACAGGTTCAGTGTCTTACTACATGCATCCATGACAAATTCAGACACATAGATATAGAATAAATACATACACACATGCATGCATACATATTTATACACAAGAAAGTACATTGGCATGCCATAATGCTTATCAAAGCTCATCTGGTTGATCCTTATAACTGAATAGTGAGTTCAATCTTCACTAGGTGCCACATTAACATTAAATTGTCCAAAAAGGGTTGACATGACATAAAAAACAACCAACTATATAATATATATATATATATATATATATTATATATACACACACACACACACACACACACACACACACGGGGCTGTTGAAATGCTCCTGGCCCAAATCACCTCCTTTAATTTGACTAAATAGCCAAACATTAAAACTTTATGAGAAAGAGATTCTCAAATACACCCCATTATGTACAACAATACACAACACTGAGAAAAATCTTTATAACTATGATAAGTACTTCATAATAAGTTCTTCATCTACAATAAGTTGTTTATGACTATGATAAGCTGTGATCATGGCGTTTTCAAAGTGTTAACTTTAATAACACTTTTAGAAATAACATCCATTGCCATAGAGTGCCTCCAATGGAACAGACAAACTCATGTACAAAACCTGTTGGAACAGAGAATATATCAAAAGCATATAACTAAAAGCATAAAACAAGAAACCTTGACTCAGGTAATCATTTCCATTGCAATTATGATGATCAATATACCTTTGTATTACACTGAACTCTTCAGTAAAACAAGAAAATACTGTTCATATGTAAGAACAGCTGCTATTGGCTTAAGATTCACTTTACTCTAAGGAATAGTCTCATGAATTAACTAGTAAGATTCAGTATTACAAGTCAGCAGGGTCATTTCTAGAATTATGCCAAGATGAAAGAAATCTAGTTCATAAAAAGCATTTTTTTCAAAAATCACATTTGTGCCTCTGCACTTGGCAATCACATCTGTGCCTCTGCACTTGGCAATATAAAACAAAATCTTTGAGTGAATGTCACACACCCAATATGCAAAACACAAAAACAATTTCTCTGTTGTACATTATTTTATAATTTTCACAACTTGGGTGTTCAGCTGTTGAATGGTTATGGAATAAAACAATTCTCTCCTCTACAGCAAGCATCCAATATTTTTAAGCGTGCTTCTCAAATTAATAAAAACTGCTTATTACAAGGTAATTCAAAATTCCACATTGATTTGCTTGCAAAATCTTTTGTCACACAATTACCACCTTCTTAAATCCTAACAAGGTGCAAATAGTAACAGGAACCTATGGCATGACTAATATTAACTCATCTTTCCATCAAGTGCACAATCTCTAGCTAGCTTTTATCAGCCAATCCACAATTATGGCCGATCATGATATCGAGAGGGGGAGAAAAAATAAGTAGGTACAGCATATTCGAATATGCTAATTTCTGAATAAGTTGGAAAATCAATATTATATGCTTTGCTATTCAGACCAGCTTAGTTGTTATACAGACAATATTTCGGCTGTTGTCCCCTCTAGTCTTTTTTCACTTGTATGTCTTTGTATGTGGTAACGTTCTTGGAATTTCAAACCAAACACTTTATTCCATCTTTGGGGACGGATTGTTTTCATACCATTTTTTATGCTTAGACACAGTATTAGTGCCAGATAGTGCTGAAAAATCATCTGTAGTTCAGTGGAAGAAATGGACAAGCAACACTAAGGTGAATAATATAACTGGTGAGTATGGAATATTTCCCTAAGCAAGAAAAATGGAATGAAAGCAACTTACTCCTGGAGATTGGGTAAAGTGTTTGGCTCTAAATTCCAAGAAGGTTACTAAGTAGAAATGCAAACACCTGAAGATGACAGGATACAATGGTCAAAAGATGATAATGATAATTGCTTATGTCAAAGAATCTTACAAGTGTTGCAAATCTAACAATCAAGATAAGCACAATGGTCCAAACAGCAAAGCAATTAATAATAATCCCTCATCTCAAAAATTCCAACAAAAATTGGAAAATCAAAATTAAACATTTTCAAGGGTGAAACTAAAAACACTACAATCTGACCTAAAATCAATATTAATTTCTTTCAAATGTAACATTATAGTATTTTTTTCTAATTACAGATGTGGATTGTGTTAGGAAACTGATATGTTTACTCACCTTTCAATAATGCAGTAAGGATTGCTAAGTCAAGATCAATATCTCCCATTCTAAACACTGTAATCTGAAATAAATACAAACAATTATCTTATTAAAAGGAGCAAAATCAAAACAAAATTTAATTAAAATATGTGTGTGAGAGAGAGAGGGTAGGAGTGTACTTGTCTCTTTAAAAGACAGAGTTACCTCTCATACCTTCATGTCAAATGTTTTTTTCTCTCTAATTTAAATCATTGTCAAAGTAATCCAATGAGTCTTAAATGCCATGCTGTGGCACATTAGTGTACCACGCGATCCTCTTAAGCGCATTGTGAAATATTGTCATGATGTGCATGTGTGTGAGTAATAATGGTAAAGTGTTAGTATTTGAATAAATGAATAAGTATTAAACTTATTTCAAATAATTCTTTTCACTATTCTTTGATTATGTTATTTTAAATACAGTTGAACTCTCCAAATCCAAACATAGCATAATCTAAACTTCCTCAAATTTAGACTCATCTTCAAATCCAAACTTTTGTACTGACATAAATATGAAGCCTTTTCTTCAATTTAGAACAGAACCCTCAATGCCAAACATCTCAGACATTTGGTTTAGTTGTACTGTATATCCTTATTTTTGATTTTCTTTACAAATTGTAATTGTTTTTGAATAAGAGATTTCTTGCCCATAATAATGTCACTAAGTTCAAAAAGGAAGAGAATTATTTTGACTTTTGTGCAAAAACTTGAAACTCTTGAAAATATAGATAAAGGAATGAGTAACTCTGTTCTAATGAAAGAATATAGTATTGGAAGGAGCACACTTTTCTATATAAAAAAAAACAGAGAGTAAATTTTACAAGTTGCTTCATCTTGTGAAAATAAAAAGAGAAATGCTTTACAAAAAACTTTTCGTGCACCAAAAGGACGTCAATTTGACCAAAGTCTATAAGAGTGGTTTTCCTCAAAATGATTACAAGGTTTGGCAATATCAGGTCGATGCTAATTGCCAAAGCAAAGGCTTCTTATGCTGAAAAGAAAATGAAAACAAACATGCAATTTAGTAGATGTAGAAGTTTCAAGACTTGATATGGAATATGGCAAGTAAAAATTTTAGGTGATCTGCAGGCAGCTTCCACATATAGTGAAAACTTCTTCAACATTATGAAGAATTATGATTTAACCCCAGATGTAATCTACAATGCTGATAAAAGTGGTATCTATTGGAAATGTTTGCCCACAAAAGCTTTAGCTGGTGCGGACAAATGAAAAATGGGTTATAAACTAAATAAAGAAAGATTGACAGCGCTGGTGTGTGCAAATGCATCAGGTAGCCACAAACTTAAACTTGTAGTTATTGGAAAATCTAAGACTCCCTGTTCTTTGAAAGAAATTCTGCAATTACCAGTCACATAGAAATCTTCAAAAAATGCATGGATGAATCAGTATCTGTTTACTGATTGGTTCACTCAGGAGTTTGTCGATTTGAAAAAACCTGCTTTCTTGGATTAGATAAACCAAATTAAAGATGCTTAATTCTTTTAGACAATTGCAGAGCTCATCCACATGAAGATAAATTAGTGTCATCTTGTGGAAATGTTTTTGCATGATATTTACAGCCAAATGTTACATCATTAATCCAACTAATGGATCAAGGTGCCATTTGGAATATGAAATATTTCTACAAAAATCATTGCATGATGAAACTAATGAACTGCAATGTTAGCCTACAAAATTTTCAGAAGAGTTTTGCTGTCAAAAATTTTCAGAAGAGTTTTGCTGTCAAAGATGTCATGTTTTTTTACTAGCACAATCGTGGGATGAGGTGAAAGCTGGCAATTTAAGAAGAGCATGGGGGGAAACCTGTACTGAGAGAGAGAGAGAGCTAGTGTTGCAGAAAGTAAATGTTAACAAAAGTGAAACAAATTGTTTAGAAAAAGAACCAGAGGTGGAGAAAAATATTGAAACTTGTCAGCTTCCTACTGAAGACAAAAATCTTCAATCCCTTGATGTAGATGATGATGTAGCATGGGCCAGTCAAGAAGTAGGAATAGAAGATGATACTCATAACGAAGACAGTATTCAAGATAGTATTAATAGTTATAGCAGTACTAGTGAGTCTATATTAGACGATCAAAGTGATGATGAAACAGTATTATGGGAAAAAGCAGAGAAGTCTATTGAAACACTACTTAAATTTATTGAGCAAATCTTGTTTCAATGACCACTGAAATATCCATACATGTGCATTACAAAATGAGATTATCAAAAAGAAACTGCATAATTGTAAGGGTGAAAGAATGTTGTACTTGTGTCAAAAGTGCCATAGAAACGACTGTCATGAACACAAATGAAGAATGCAGTGAAATTAAGGAAGATCAGACAATGGACAAATGATAAATTTATAATTTCCATAAATTTTTAAACATTTCATAAAGTGTCTTAGTTTTTCACAAATATTTTCATTACTATTGGTTGTCAATTATTTTTTGTACATTTATGTATTCAGTCTACATTTAAAAATGAAACAACATTATAAACTACCTTTTTTATATCCTAAACTTTAAAACTTAAGAAAAATTTTAAGCTTGCCACAGCAGCCATTTTTATCTTGAATCCAAACAGTATCTACAATACTGAACATCTCAGATGTTTGGTTTAGAGGAGTTGTACTTTGTTTTAATATTCAACTTTTAAAAAGTATTTTTTATTTTTTTTAGTTTAACTTTTTAAAATTTTCCTTTTGAATAAATAAATATTAACCTTTTTGTTAACCTGCACAAATAGTTGAATAGAAACATTGAAATAAAGTTCATATTTGTGTGTGCATTTTTTTTTAATCTATGGTTTCTATTTCATAATATTTGAATGTACACTCTTTAAAAATTTTGCTAAGTGTGCCATGATATTTTCATTTCCTCCTAGGTGTGCTGTTGCTTAAAAAGGGTGAGAAACACTGGCCTAAACTATCTAAACAGAGCAAAAAATGCTTCACAATGTCATCACTAAAACTTAAGTTTCATGCTCTCACAATCTTATATATATTGGGTTGTTAGGAATCTGATACATTTTTGCAGATAAAATACAAATCTACTCATATTTATGTGTGTATTTTTTTTAAATCTATGGTTTCATAACATTTAAATGTCTACCCTTTAAAAATTTTGCAAAGTGTGCCATGATATTTTCATTTGCTCTTAGGTGTGCCGTTGCTTCAAAAGGTTGAGAAACACTGAAGTAATCAATTTTCCTCCAAGTTGATGACCATGCCATCAATAGAGACACTTTCTACATTACATATGTTCATTTGCATAACATTTCTAACTTAATGGCTATGTTTTTATAATAATAATTACCATATAAAAGGTAGATGATGTCAGAATGGAAATAGAATTTTATCTTATTTTCATAAATATATGCAATTATCAATATTGAAAATTATTTTTAGCTTAAATATAAACAGATAGTAATTCTCTGAATATATTATTTTTAAGTAACATATAAATATATATTAAGTCTGTAATTACATTGAACTTATAAAAATATCAAAAACTTCAATTTTACTCTCATTTTTTAAGGTATACGTCAATTAGAGATAATTATAACAGAAAAATTTACTGATCATGGAATTTATTTCAAATGAAACAATTATTAATAATAATGAAAATAATTTCTTTCCATACAGTGAGTGCAATTAAATATTTTTATTTTCTCTCTAATTGGCTAAGTCCAGGGTATGATGATAAACTACATCCAGCAGCAAGGCCTCTGATCAGGAGATTTTGAGGAACCAACTCTTATTTACTGTTGTTCCCAGGTCCACTATGACCTGGGATGGTAGCGATTGTTAGGGTCCCAGCTATGGGCAAATAGTGAGCCCCCACCAAACAAAAACATGATGAAAGTATAAAAATACATTTTTTTTTTTTTTTAGTAAAAATACTGGCAATGCATTTATATATATATATATATATATATAAAAACAACAATACACGATCAGTAATACATTTTATCTGTAGCTGAAGACATAGAATTGCATTCAAAATATATTTAGTTAAAGCCATAAAATTGTGTTCAAATTATTTAGATTTCAGCATTAACTAACCCATTGACGTGTTGATATGCCACTAAGCAAAATCTTATTGCATAGCATCTTATCTGTTTACATTTTCTGTTACAAGAAGAAATTGTCTCTCGAAGTCTCTGGTTGAAGCTTGGGGCCTTCTCATAGTACACAAAGCAAAGGCAAACACCACAACCACTAATAATAGTAATGATGTTGATGATGAAGAACTGTACATAATATTAGAATTAAACTGAACAGTTCAGTTTATAATCTAAGCATGAGCTGGGGAATCCCTACTCATTGAAGAAGCAATATATAAACACTGATATGGTATTCAAATTACAACATTCAATATAGAGAGATCACTCCTAACAAGAAGTTGGGATGTAATTCTCAATATTATTACTTTCCATCTTTACAAAGACAAGTTTCCAATACCTTTGAAAGCTATATTTGATAAACACTTGTTAGGCAGTTTTTAAAAGAAACATAAAAAAAATGTTCTTTCATAATTTTTCTTCCTCTTCCCCATGTGATATGAAAGCAGTTGTATACACATACATACAATGCAATTACAATGAAAAGGTTTCAAATCATTCAAATTTTTCCACAAGCAAAATATATTTGAAAATATTCTTATTCACCACACACACACACATATATATATATATATATATATATATATATATATAATTTCACTGTACATTTCGGCCAACCAGATCATATTAATAACTTAGGAGCCATCCTTTTAGTGTCTTCATTTAAATGCCAACAAGAACGGTAAAAGTCATAATACATTTTGAAAATAAATTCACACATTCTAGGTTTAAATAGGAATTTAGATACACTCAATGAAAAAACCATCTACAACCATCATCATAGCAAGCAACTAGCCCAAAACTACTAAATTTCATCATGTAAAACATTATCCCCATAAAAAGTCCCACTTCATTATTTTTTTTTTTTTTATTTCTCGCTGAGAAAGGACACAGGTATGTACAAAAATTGTAATTTTTTAACATCTTTCTTATAAAGCTTTTATTTTGTCAAAGCATCTACTAATATACAATAAATATTATTACTTATCAATATTAATGTTTTTTATCTCTCATATTTCTTTCAACAGCCTACTATATATATATATATATATGCATGAGGCTAAGTGGTTAGAATGTTGATTGATACATCAAATAAATATAAACTTTGGAAAATTTACCAATAACATACAACAGCTTATTCTGAAATTTGAAAAATACCATTAATAATTTTGCTAAGATCAGGGTTAATTCTGGCTTGATATTCCTAGTCTTGGCTTGTGGCTTTTTTAGGGTCAAGACTTTTGAGACTTCTTGGGCTGTAATAAAAAAAATGTTACTGAGATTGTGCTCAGTGAGATGGGTTAAGTCAGAAAGGGGAGGTCATATGTCATCTAATGTTGAGTTACAGACAAAGATTGAGGCAAAGAGCTTCACCTTATCTGACAAAGAAGAGATGACCTCGGGGCTATTTATAATAGTGGGCATAGATGCTTTGGCTATATTCAGAATTTAGCTGGAGATCTTTCAAAACTCACGGATCCAATTTGTTTTCAAACTTAACCTAGACTGCTTGTGCTTAGATACACTTTACATTTTCCAGTACTTTCTTGCAGTGATTATAAGCAGTTCTGAATGCAGCAAGTGTCCAAATGCACTACTCCTTGTGATAGATATTGGTAATAGTGCTATGGCTGCAAGCACATCCAGGGATGAATCAGGGCTGGCTATTCAGTTTTGGCTGGAATTGAGAGGGAGGGGTTATAAAACTCTCCATTCCAGAACCAATCTATTCAAAGATGAGGGGAGAATTTTTTGGAGACACCATTTTTTAAAGAAGTTTGAGAAAGAAGCTTACACACCATGTAAGATCTAAATGTGTCCCAGTCTGGCTTTGTGTAGTGAAAAATCATTCTATAGAACAGCAAATGGTTTGGTATTAATTTGGACACTGACTAGAGAATGGTCTGACATGACTAGAGTGGGTAAAACTTCTGTGAGGCATTTTTCAGGGCAGGATGTGAGGAAAAAAAAAAAAAAAAAAAAAAAAAAAAATCAAGGATGTTCGCCTGATCTACTGTTGCATTAGGAACACAGGTGGATTCTTCCGAGTTAGGTCATAGATAATGAAGATATCTGCAGTATCTCCCTTCTGCATCAGTTTCGTTCAAGCGGACTAACCACTCTTTGTGGAGAATATTGCAGTCAACACAGATATGAAAGTTAACAGAGGCAAATTCAGTGAGAATGTTATCAATCTTCTCAGACATTCGGTCAGCACTGATCTGAGGTGTGTATTCTTAAATAACCACAAGAATACAGTTATTTACCAAACAGGTACTATTCTTTTTGATATCCCTACTTAAACCATACAGAATGAAAAATGGAAGAAAATATCTTAGCAACCATAAAAAAAATAAACAACATACCAGATCTTTTTTCTTAACACACAGCATGAGTTCTATAAAGAGTTTTTCTGCTTGCACCTGAGTGTACTGGAATGTCTTCTGTATTGTCAAAATCAGTTGGTCATGGATACCTTCCATCATATCACTGAAAATCAAACAATTAAAAAATCATTATTTAACTATTTAATTAGCTGAATACTTAGGAAGGCAAAAAGAGAAAATATATAGGCAGAGTAATGGGCTAAAGTAAATAGCTCAGTAGTAAAAATACAGTTAAAAAATTTCATTGGTCAATGGAAAGCACTTGCAGATTTTGTTTATAAAAAAAAAAAAAAAACGTGGAGAAAGTTAAAGTACTTTTATTGGTGCTGGGTTGGAAAGATTTATAACCATATATCCATAAAGATGGTTAAACTGATTTCAAATAGTATTAAGTGATAAGTTTTTATAATTTTTCAATATAAATTTGATTACAAAACAAAATGTAAAACTTAAAACAAATCTCCTTATTAAAAAAAGCCATTGTTTCTTATGCTGCATGATTTTTACAAGACTGGGACTGGAAGGTACATGTTTGTTCACAGCAGGATTTTTACAAGACTACAACTGCAAAGAGCATTTTTGCACACAGAAAGACTTTTACAAGACTGGGACTGGAAAGGGTATTTTTTGTCCATCGCAAGACTTTTACAAGACTGGGACTGGAAAGAGCATTTCTGCCCACAGCAGGATTTTTACAAGACTAGGACTGGAAATGGCATATTTGCACACAGCAGGATTTTTACAAAGACTAGAAAGGGCATTTTTGTCCATAGCAAGATGTTTTACAAGACTGGGACTGGAAAGGGCATTTTCACTACAGCAAGATTTTTACAAGACTGGGTCTGGAATGGGCCTTTTTTCACACAGCAAGATTTTTACAAGGCTGGGACTGGAAAGACATTTTTGCCCACAGCAGGATATTTACAAAACTGGGAATTTATTTCAATAAAAAAGACTCAAGCCTTACTGTCTGTAACAGAGTACTGTATAATGCCTTAATTCAGAAAGGCCCTTGTCATTCAGTTCAAAAAGCTACCTAGAAAATTTTATCAAAGAAACATGTAAGATAGAACTTAGCATCTGAATTTGTCAGGGATTATATAAAAGACAGAAATCACAAACTTTCTTCCTATATGTGATGTCCCTTCAGAATGTGGGCTAACATGGCTTTACACAACTGTCTTTTGTAACTTTGAGTAAAGTTTGTCTTTTTACTATCTCTCCTAAACCCTGTCCTGCCAAACATTTACACAAGCAAGTTAGGTAAGTCACTGACTGATTCCTGTGACTCTCTTTTCTTCAATATGTCATGTGGGCATCAAATTTTCCAAGCCCACTTTCCTTTTTATGTGCCCCTAGAAATTTCATCTCCTTCTTTCTAATTCTAAGTATAAACACTCTTTTTGTTTCTGTTTTCCTTTAAAACTTCATAACTGTTCACAGGTTCAGTCCATGGTATTCTCAGCATCTTTCTTTAGAACCACATTTCTATTGCTTCAGGTCTCTTCTTTATCTGTGTGGAGATTGTCCAGCATTCACTGCTATATAGGAAGATCAATATTATCTATTGGTTCAGGGTGGTGTAAATATGATCTCTGAATATAGATGTCCTTCAGATTTTGCTTGAAGTGTATCTTTGCCTCCACTTTACCATGTATCCCATTTATGTAACAATTATTACAGGAAATACTAATTTATACATTTGATGTGAAATACCAGCACCAAGAAAATCCAATCAAAGGTTGGCTATACATTTGGGGAGGTGGGTGTTAGAGTTGTGTTTTGGTACACAAGGGGGCAGCAACCCCAAAAAGTTTGGGAACTACTTCATTAGTCTCAGAAGACGATGAAGTTGAGATCTGGGTGATGCTTCAAGCATAGGGTCTGCGTCTTCTTGATAGGCCTATTTGAGGATGGCAGTCAAAGTTTGATGTTGGTCTGTTAGTCTTTGAGCTTTTCTTTAATTTACTTTTGTCTTTTATGACTATTGAGAAAATGTTACCAAACTTGAAGAGGCTTTTCTGCATTGCTTACCTCTAGGATGATCATTTGAAGGCTACAGCTTCCCACATATCTGGATTCATGCCTTAGATCTTTTTTACAGATATCTTTTTAGTGTAGTTGGGATCTACATATACACTGGTCTATCTGTTAGTCTTTGAGCTTTCCTTTCTTTACTTTTGTATACTGGGGGAGTGGGTAGCATTGTGTTTTGGTATACAAGGGAGCAGCAACCCCCCAAAAGTTTGGAAAACACTGTTCTAAATCAATGTAGACATGCAATGTAAGAAAGTTTTATTTCAAAGATATTCTTTTTTTTCATATATTTGACATCATATAAGGTCCTCAATATTGTCATTATAATATTACTGTATAATGGAGTTAAGCAACATACAAATACTGACAGTCTATAGTGCCTGGGTAGACATTAACCAAGCAAATAAGCCTCAACTTGGTATATAACACCTCTGATATATTTTTTTTAGCCAAAAGGAAAAAATGTGTGTCATATGTTATCAAATACAGTAATCAAAATTAATCATCTTTATTTAACTAACAAAAAAGATTTGAGTCACAAGCTTAATGCTGAAAAATTCTCAACCCACTTTCCAAAATAAATATTCTGGTGTTTAGATAATGAAATACAGATTTTGAGAACAAGGTCGGACTGTGAACTTTTCAGTAACTCTACCCCCATTATAATGTTTACACTGAAAATTTGAAAACGTTGATCAAATAAAAATGTTCAAGTGGTAAGGAACTGCTTTACAAATAAAACAAGGGTCTCACTCACCCGTCATCTGAAGTATATTTGTGGGTGAAAGCCAGTAGATCAGCAGCACGCCCACTACCATCACAGACCACAACAGGGATTGGTGGAGAATCAGTTACATATTCTAATACTGATCGGATGGTATTGGCACCACCCTCAAGCACCACACAGATCACTGGCACACCCCGCCCTTTCACACCACTATCTGAAAATGGAAAGTTAATATAAATTAATGAAGATACATCAGATTTTATTATGCAAGTCAATATTTTTCACAATAAAACTGATATTATCCAAACAAAAAGCAATATTGTTCAGGATATGTGTATTTATATGAGCAATATAACACGTAAGCTGAAGATTATAAATTCTGTCCTTATTAAAAATATAAAAAAATTGGAAAACATGAGGGGCAGATTATATTATACAAGCAAATTAAGCACAACATAAATTTTTATTTATAAATATATTCAAAAGATATAGAAACAAATTTCATGAACACAATATCCATTATAACACTGAATAATTTATTTTATAAGTGAAGGGCTTGTTGGCCTTCTATAATCATCATCATTGATTTTGTTAATTTTTCTACAGTTTCAAATTACTAATATTACTTCTAGTTTTTATTGCTTATTAGAGAGCTTTGCTTGAATATTGTTTTCCATTCTCATATAAATCTTCTTTTAATGACGGAACACACGTTTACGATTGGATTAACATCTGAAGTACTGGGGTGGAGTATTCCATTAATTTGGTATCTTTGAAAACTCTTTTTGGCAGAGTAGGCAATAGTTCTTCTGTGTGCAATGTCACTTCAATATACTGATAGTCATGGCTCTCCACAACTTCTTGTCCTTTGTAGCTTAGTAAATTTTGTCATTTTGCTATCTCTTGTAGACCCTGTTCTGCTATCCATTTACACAAGCTTGCGTAGAGAATGTATTTAGTAAATATACAAAAATAGAAAGAAGTGTAAGAGAAGGATGTGCCTTACAATGAGAAGGCATATCCTTGTCTTATACCTCTCTCTATTTTTGTATATTTACTAAATTCATTTTCTATGCAGGTGGTTTGCTTCCAGTATACACAACAATTCAAATGTTTGGGGCTACCCTTGGTCATTTTTTAAATTGACTCCAAAAGTAGTTCTTTTGTACTTTAAATAAGAGAAAATTATTATACATGGTTAAAAAAAAAAAAAAGTGAGATATGATTTTTTTATGAGAAATTTTATTATGAGAAAAAGAAAAGCATTTTATGATCAAATTTTGCTCTCGTTAAAATATCTTCATTTAGCCTTGATTACTGCGGCACAAAGTTTTAGCATTTGTTGCAAAAGCTTCTCAAAGTATAATTTTGATAAGTCATTCTTTTTTTTAATGATTCTAAGAGCTCTTTTTCATTTTTTTTTTCACTCTTCAAGTTCATCCCGTGCTAATTCTGGAAGTGGCTTCAATTTTTTGAACTGTGGATTATTCTAATAACCTTCCCAAAATCCTTGACATATTTGGGAAGGCATATTTAGCTTTTGCCAAATTTAAAAAAAAAAAAAAAAAAAAAAAAAAAAAAAAGCATTTGTTTTGTATGAATAGACTCTTTAGCTTAAAGTTTCTTGATTGCAATTTGCATCTCTCAAAAAGCATCTTATCCAAAAATTTATAATAATTCTCTGCATTTATCTTGATACAATCATCAATTTGGAAGAGACATAACTTACTGTCTACAATACTAGCCCCAAAACATTACTGCACATCCAATTTTATCTTCTAAGTTGTGTTAACTATTTCCTTGGAGAACACAACTTCTAACACAGCCATCACATTCATCCATTGAAGCTCAACATGCATCACTAAAAATTATATTTGAGAAATCAATTTTAACATCCTTTTTGCCCAACTTACACATTTCTTTTAGCAATGATAGCCAGTGATCTTCATATTCAGTATCTTTTTTGTTTATATTTACAACATCCGCTTCTTCAAATATTTTATTGCTGTTCAATCCAATTTCTTTGATTATTGCCCATTTTAATTTTTCTCAATTTTTTTTTTTCAATATTTTTAAAGCAAATCTCTGTAATCTCTATTTAATCATTTATAATGTCTAATGTTGTGTTCCCACTACTTAATAACTTTATAACATTTGGTATCTCTTTTAAGGTTACACCATACAACACCAAGCAATCTTTATATCTTTAACTAAAAATCAAATATTAATAAATATACCATACACGTTTGATGCACGCTCATAGTTGGTAAAATCTAATATCATGCAGTTGGTTGGCAGTTAATAAAAAGTAGATCCTATAAAATGTACCGGGTGTAACAGCAAAATTGTCCATTTGTTAGATTAAGTTTTGAACCGTTTATCTTAGAAATGATTAAAGTTATCTTACTGGAATTCTCAGAGGTTTTTATAACACTATTGGATTCTACTTTGAGCAATAAGAATGTGTAATTATTCTGCAAGATTAACAGAAGAATTGTGATGAAATCGATCATAAACAAAAATAATATCCTTCTAACTTTCTGTCCTGGAATAACAATATGCCTCACAGGTTTCACATATGATTTCATTTTCAAGTCTTTTTCCAATTCTTTTTGGACTGTCATAGCTGAAATTCCTCTCTCATCTGCCAAATGTCTTATGAATTGAGTTGGATCTTTTCTAATTGATCTCTTTAGCTCTAAGTTGAAATGATGATCCCTCTTCCTGTTGTGGCCTTCTGATCCAGTTTTTCTCTTTTTAAACTTATTCATCATTCTCTTGATAGTTCTTGAATGAACTTTGAAGATGAAAGCTGGACTATAAATGCTGATACCATTACTGAAAGCCTGAATGAAGACAGCGGGTCTGACACAAAACAATTTTATCTGGTTCTCTTTTATTTAAATAACTCAAAGTGTTTTTCAGTGATTCTTAAGAAAAATGGTGTCAAGATGGTTAAATGTCTTATATGAAAACCTGGAAAATAGAAACTCAATTAGTTTAGTGGTTTTTTAGATATTAAACATTTTGTGGGATGGATGATTATGCTGTAACATGATTTGGACAATTTTGCTGTTACATTCAGTATATATTTCCAAATTTTAGTTTGCATAAAATATCACCAATAAGTTATTGTAAATATTTTTTTAATAAAAACAGATGTTATAAACTGAAATTCTCATTGTGTATTTATTTATTATATGAATAAAAGTAAATCTTGGAAAGCTTACCTACCTCAGCTGGTTAGTAATTTTATTGTGAAAATAGTGACTAGAATAATAAAATAAGATTTTTGATTTTTTTTTTTCATTTTTAGCAATTAAAGCTCATTGAAAATTTTTGGCTGCATTTAATTACAGAGGAATTAAAAATATTTGAATAATAATTTTTTTTTAAAAGCAACTGAAAAACATACATTGGAAATGTTCTAGGTAATGGTGTTGGCTCAAAAGTTTTTTCTGAAAATGATTTTTTGCATGACCGATCTCAATATTTTGTTTAATTATTGGAAGACATCTTCAGTAAAAATACTTAATAAAATGCAAAAAGGTTGGATATTTTGTTAGTGCAAAATGAATTTTATTTCATGATTTTGAAATCATGATGGTTATTAAAATAATCTAGATTTATTCACCTGAAATTGAGTTCTAATTAATAATCAATGGCATAGTTATTGGGTTGGAAATCATCGTTTTTATCCACATTATTTATAAACTCCAATGATCGATCTTCATCTGATATATGAGTTGCCACACCCAAATTAACACTTTCTCTACCAAAATGATGTTAGTCAACACCTTTGCTATTCTACCAAATGTGATTAACATTCTACTTTTTGCTGGTATTCATTTTGTCCTCTACAAAATGCTATAATGAAGATCTTATTTCCAGCCATGTTATTGGGTCTCTGGAGAATCCCTACTGTTTTATTCCTAGCTTACACTCACACTTCTGAAGCTCTAAAGACAAAGAACCAGCAAAAAAACAGGAAGAGAAAGAGAAAGTATAGAGTCATTCCTACTTTAAGTGAATGAGCCAAAATCTAAGAGATTTAGTGAGCTTCAATCCCAAAGTCAATGTTTTAAGACATGCTTATTTGAAGTTAAGAACAAAAATTGAAAATGTGCGAGAATGGAACAATCAATTGTAGTCAAGGTCTTTGGTTCAAATTCAGACAAAGCAAATCTCGATGATTTACCGATTGAGTTGACATTTGTTATCCCTTCAAAGTTTGGCATCACATCAAAGAATACTTCCACATTCCATTTGGATTTACAAGTTCTGACAGAATGCCATCATTGTATAAAAGCTACAGTGAGCCAAATAGAACAATGATAAGAACAATATCAAGAAGAGAAATAAAACATTAACAGTCCTCTCTGAAGACACAGGAGCACTGCACATTCTCCAAAAATGAATAGCATTACAATAAACTACAGGGTGGTCTTAAAGACATCTCACCCCCACATAATATATTTCAGATGTCTGACATGAGCATCTACAGTTTAGAAGAGAGGTGGGGGTGGTTACAATGCTTTTGGAATACCCTGTACATCCAGCAGCAGGGGGACTGAGAAATTGGAGGTTTTGAGAAGTGTGGAACCAATTGCTGTTGTTCCCAGGTACATTTAGATCTGGGGTGGCCTCACATGTTAGCATCCCAGCTATGGGCAAATAATGAACCCCCAGAGGAAAAGCAAAAAACTATGAGAGTATAAAAATAGCAGTGATAATTTTTTTTTTTATAAAAAATTACCAGCAATAACTATTTATAGTAAAATGACCAACAATATATTCTATCTGCACATAAAGTTAAAATAGAAATAAAAAGAGAATGAGAGACAATGCAAATAAAAGTATTGCTTAATATAATAAGGAAAGGGAGTCATGTACTTCAAAGAATGTTGCCTTTTGCCTTGACAATAATTCAAAGAGAAGTAAATGTTGCCAATCATTCCCGGAGAAGTGAAACAAATAATCATATTTTGCACTTGATGTGATAGTTTTTCAATATTTAAAAATAAAGTTGGTGATAAATAAACATATACCTATAAACAAATCAATTCTTTTGTTAGACTTTACAAGATCACAGAGAAAAGAGAGGTGTATTATCATCATGTTGATATGAATTGGCTAAGAAAAAGGTTTTTAATGACTGACAGAATAGCACAAATGTCTCTATGTTATCCTCCATTTTCAGAACAGAATTTAATTATTTTTTTCATGCCCTTTCGGATATTAATTTCCGTATTGACAGCGATAACTGAAAGAAAGAATTTGTTAGTGTTCTGTTCTTTGAATATTCTTGGACAAATTTGCATTTAATTCTTGGTTTTACTGCCACAGGCCAATGCAAATTATCCTGAGTCACCAAGATTGCATTTTGAAGATAGCCTATTTGAATGAATCCCCACTGAACTTTTTAATCCAGAAATTCTCTTATGTAAACAATAACATGCTGAAGATCTGATACCTTGCAACCTTCTCCAGCTGTGGAATGAGGCAGACCCAAGTAAATATTAAAACCAAGTGGTAAAAACAAGGATTAACAAGATATTATCTGTAACTTTGAGAACAGCCTAGGTGATTATGGCATTGGCATGTAAATCTACTGACATAGTAACTGTGAGTTCAATCCCTATGCTAGATAGTACAGATTCAGTGGAAACAAAACCAGCAATAACTGAGCAGTACTAAAAAAAAAAAAAAATTAAAAAAAATAATCATGAAATATGTATAATGGAATGAGGACAATCTACTACCATAGATTAAATAAGGGTTCAGTTCAAAATTCCCTGAAGGTTAACTGTATTGATAGACACCTGAAGAAGGCTAGAGGGAACAACAACCGAAATGTTGTGATAATAACAACAAAGTGGAGGGCATTAATCCAACTGTAAATAATAATAATAATAATAATAATAATAATAATAATAACTGTATCATTTCTTTACACACTTATTGCTGATAATATTTCAGCCCTCATCAGGTGTATTCAAGTGAGGAAAAAAAAGGAGGTTTTTTGTTTTCCATCACTAGTTGCTTTTTTTTTTCTTGGCAGAAGAGTAATCACACACTACCCTTCATGGAATACACCTGAAGAAGGACCGAAGAATGGATTCAGTGAAGCACCACATTAACAATGGCATATATGCAAAGAAAAGTTCCAATTGTCTAAACACTGTTGGGAATGGACTACTAAGAACATTTATAGAATTTCTTCCCAATGACTATGTTAATTCTGATATTCAGACACTGTCTCTCATGAAGAATTTCCATCCTGTTTAAGACAAAAGGTTTAGTTTTTTCTTATTAAGAAAGCTTAATGCACTGCAAAAACAATAAGATCCTTGCATGATATTAAAAAGAGGGAATGAATAAATTGGAGAGTTCTTCCATGACAACATAAGAGTGAAACCTACAATACATAGAAACACAAAAGGACCTGTAGTATTAAAATCTGAGTTAAGATTGACACTGGCCAAGATGAACATAAACAAAACAGAAGGACAGGATGCAGTTGCAAGAGTAATAATATCAGCCTTGGACAATGATAGCCTATACTGTCACAGCCTTGAACAATGATAGCCTATACTGTCACAGCCTTGGGCAATTTGGGGTTACATAAGATTACTGAAATAATGAATGAATATGTAACAGCAGTGAAATACTAGAAGGCCTCAATGGGTTTATTTTCATAGAGATGTCAAAGAAGCCAGGTGCAAAGGAATATGAACTCCTTTGGAGAATCACCTTAATGAGCCACAAAACTGAACCTATCATTAGGATTCTAATGAATAGAGCTCATAGCAGAATTAGATTGGAAATGGGGCAAGAACAGTGTAACTTTGGTCAAAAATTTGGAAACAAGACATCATCTTTATGATCAGGATAATATCAGAGTGAGGAATACAAATACAGAAGGACATATCTTATAGATTTTATAAGAGCACTTGATAAAGTATGACACAAAGACCAATTTGAAATATTAGAAAAGCTTGATTAATAGAGGAAAGATGTTCAGTAATTCGTAACCTTTACTGGGAACAAACAGCCTGCATGCAGAAAAGAGAATGATTTCAGTGAATACATAAGAATCGTAAGAGAAAACATGGATCTGTTTCTCATTATGATTTATATAAACTCTATAGCAAGACAATCTTAAGAGAACTATATGATATACTGGAATTTATTACTGATAGGCATAATCTGAACAGCATACAAAATACTGATGATACTGTGAGAATAGGAAAACTCTGAAACAAGATGGTAAAGGAAAGCAAGATAAAAGGACTAACTGTAAATAAAATAAAAACATAGAATGCATGTTTAGGAACAAAATAGACAGCCTAAGATAAGAGCTATAGAATAGGGAGGTCAAAATCAAGCAGGTACATAAATTTAACTGTTGGGATAGTCTAGTAACAGAAGACAGAAAATGTGACATAGAAATCTGAAGGCATATAGAAATTGTGAAAGAGGTCTTCCAGAAATTAAGAAAAGTATTAAGAGATAGGAAAAGTTCAATGAAAAAGGAAAGACTGATAAATTGCTATGTAATACAAGTCCTTTTATATGGCAATGAATGCTGGACAATCTCCTCACAAATAAAAGGACTTGAAGGAACAGAAATGTCGTTCTACAGACAAAGGTAGAAAATGCAATGGACAGAGTATATGAACAACAAGGACGTTTTAAGGAAAAGAAAAACTACAAAGAAACTTGGACTTACAATCTGAAAGATTCTGTTGAAATGTTTGGGACACATAAGAAAAGAGGGCCTGGAGAATTTAACACCCTCAGGACATATTGAAGGCAAGAGAAACAAAGGGAAAACAGTGAGTAACTTACTTAATGAGTGTGTGAATAAGTGGAAGAACAAGGACATAGATAGATGGTAAAAGGTAAAAAAAAAAAGTAACTAAAGACATGAAGTTGTGGAGAGCCATGATCACCCATAATGATGAACTACCATTTAAGTTTATCAGTCTGTAGAAAAACTAATAAAGATTTTGCTGAAATACTAGAAAAGCAATTTTTATACAAAGAAAAGTAAAATAATGACTGAAGTGTCAATGTATTAAGAAAAATCCTGGTTTGATTAAAACAATGGAATAAGAGAATAAGAAAATAAAGAGAATACAGAATAAATGTCAAAAACTAGTTTGTATTTGATTTTTCAGCTGTTATAAGTAAACACAATTTAAAGTGAAGCTGCTCTATTTCAGCATGCATTTATTCAGCATAAAGTCCAGTTGGAAAATTCATTTAAGAAAATAAAACGGCAAAGTTTACCAAAATACAAGTAAATGTTAAGATTGCTTTTAACCAAAGGGGTTGCTAAAATAAAAGGGATTTTCTTTGCTTCTTTGGCTCAAAATAAATTTAATGATCTTAATTCTAAGCATTTTAAATTTAGTATTACTCTGGTTTTAATTCATCTAAAAATGGCATTTTCTATTTATGTATCTGTTTAACAATCCTTCATCATATGAAAGATTCTGTTGAAATTTCTGACACACATAAGAAAAGAGTGTCATTAAGAAGATTAGTGGGTCATTTATTACAGTTCAGACATAAAAATTAAGAGAAAAGATGGTATAAGTGACAATTCATAAACAATAGTTTTTATTATCTATAACTACTCTTACCAGGTGAGTCTGTATAGGTGTGCAGTTCATATATTTATGAGGAAGTGCTGAAAAGTTCTTGCTTATCCCAGTTCAACAAAGAGTGAATACCAAAGCTCTTGGAAGAGTTAAAAGAAACTTGAGAAATGGTGTGCTAAATGTGTTGGACTATTTGTTAAATGTGGAATAGCATGTGTTTCAAGATCTTGCCAGACCAAGAATATATTTCAAGATCATTAACTACCTTGTCAGGCAAAGAAATTTATAAATATGTAAAAAGTGCCAAGTGCTTATTCAATATTTACTAAATGCTCAACAATGTAGCCATGTGACAGATCAAGTTTCATAAATTTCTATAATGACAATCTCAGCAGTTTTTGTTTTTTTTTCTAAATGCAATGACTATTCAGAACATAGACAATCATAACTCTTTACAGATTCCTTTGCCATGACTTCTTGGGAAATATAGTAAAGTTATTTCCCATTGCCTTCTCCACAGATTCTTTTTCTTTATGATCTGTGAATGGCCATGATGTCTTAGGAAAGATAGTGAAGTGGTTCCTCATTGCCATCACCAAAGTTATGAATTCAGAATTTTCTTTCTCTTAGATTGGTTTCTTTCTCTTAGATTAGATTACCCAAGTTTAGAGAACTCAGTCAACACTGCTCATGGTATCGACAGAAGAGACAGATTTAGGTTTTTCCCAAGATCATATGTGTGAAAGTGAATGCAATAGATTAGATTGGTATTTGAGCTCAGCAATTTTCTCCATGCCTATATATATATTTTATTATACCACATGTACATCTGCAACATGGGAAACAGTGATCAATATACAAACAATACATAATGATGATTAAAAAAATAATTTAAAAAAAAAAAAAAAAAAAAAAAAAAAAAAGGTAAGACAAGACAAAAAAGAATCCCAAAAAAACAAGTAATATGAGACTGGGGTATGTGGTACTTACTTATGCATATTTTCTGTTGACTAATGTATTTCTCTAACTTCTTGCGCAACATGATCTCACCGCCATATTTTCCCATGGTTCCATTATCAATGAGCAGGAAGTAGGAATGATTGCTGTTGAGCACAGCACAGTTTGATTTGGGAGACGAGACACAGTGATAAGGAACAACTTTCTGTAAATGAGAAACAAAAAAAAAAAAAAAAAAAAAAAAACAACATTTAAAGAAATTTCCAATGTTTTGGCACCAAAAAATAATTTTAATAAACAAAACAATTTTAAAAAATTACATAAACTGCAAATCATTTGACAGATTGAATTTGTAATATTTATAAATTCATCTGTAATTTTTGTGATTTCATATTATTAATTCACAGAAGCTGAGAAAAGATAAATCATTTTAATATCAACTGAACGCATCTGCATATAATTTACATCAAATTGAAATAAATGGGAGTTGCACTGTTTAAGGCAGGATTTTTTCATTTTACATCAAAACATACATAAAGCAATGTAACAAGAATTGAAATTGAAACCCATTGCAGGTTAATCTTGTCTACAGGTGCAACTATTAAAATATCTTAGTCACACTGACAAGACTCCATTAAACATTCAATTGATTATAATTTCATATTTATTATTTTTCTGAAGAAGTCTTGATAATGCCTCTCTCAATGTGCATTCACTACATTCATAGGGAAAGTTACAATGCTAATAAATGTTTAGGATTTCTAAGATAGAAAACAAAACCCCAGAAAAGTTTTTTTTTTTTTTTAAAACAAAAGAACAAAAAATAAAAATTTAGTGATAAATGTTATACACCTATTGTCAGTAATGCTTGCATTAATTATTAACAATTCTTTTCTTGATTTTCAATGCATTAATCATTTTTAATCATTTCAACCCAAGCAAGGTGATAATGCCACTAAGATGCAGAGAGATACAAGGAGTGAAAGAGCATAAGGAGAAGTGAAGAAAAAGAAAATAAAGGAACAGGATTCAGGAAATTTAAATTCTTGAAGATTGTAGTTTGCAAGGAAGCAGGAAATCAGAAGGGAGTTCCAAAAAAGCAAGAAGGGCAAGAAAATAATAAACTATTAGAATAAATTGTATCTAGCTAGTTCAGGAGTAAAATGATGAGACCTAGTTGCCAATCTAGTAGCACGCTTAAATTCATGCAGTCTAAGCATTTAAGTGAACAACTCATCAGAATAGTTGCCATGAAAATATTTGTAGAAAAGACAGAGGGAAGACATGTCACATTGGTGGGAAAGTGACTGAAGCTGAGATGCCAGGTCAGGATTGATTACATTACAGATGCTGCTTTGATTTCTATTGAAAAATTATTTTCAATGGCGTCCTTGAGTAAAATTATTCAGTCAGTTATGTGCCATGCCTGATAAACACTTAAGCGATCATGTATTTTTTGAACATGACTGATGAGGCAGATCCCCTCCACCCCCGCACTAGTTTGCCATTTCTTTCTGCAGTAGACCAGTTGCAATCCAAGGCTATAGAACCCAGTCTGTCCTGCTATTTACCCATAGCTGGGGGGCTAAGAAGAGGATTCATACCTTTCCCAAGGGTATTAGCACATAAGTGAATGTAATGGATTCAACAGTAATTTGAACTCAGCTCTCTGATTCCTCTGTCCAAGCTGCTATCCATTGCTTCACCGTGCCTCCTGTAAAATCATTAGTAATGCATATTAAGCTGATTCTATCAATAATGATTGGATTAATTTCTGATCACTTATGATCTTTTTCTTGATTTTTATGCATTTCTACCTTTTGCAACATATTTGTTTTAAACATATAATATCCATATTCTGCTATTAATGATTGATTTAACTTTTGACAATCATTTCCTTCCTCCTTTTCATTAAACAACATCTGGAGTTGAGGACCAAAACTTTGCTTAAAATATAGGTTAAAAAAAAATGTGCAAAATCTGCTGTTAAAAATCAAATTTTCATTTCTTATGTTTTTAGCACTAATATTCTTCTGGTGATTTTTAATTCAATTGTAGATGATCTTGAAAATCTCTAAAAAGGATAGAGGCGTGGTTTCTTGTAATCTGCCAGTCAAGAAGTACTTCCCCATTGCACGAAAAAGGAGAGGATCAGAGACAAATTGAGAGAGAGAGAGGAAAACAAAATCATGAAAAAAATCTCTGGATCCCTGTATCACATTTCGCTCTCACAAGGGAGGCAAATAAGTACAATTACTACTACAACATAACGCTTTTATTATTTGCACTGTCCTTATATATCAAAATATCTGGGGGTAGAGAAAGGCCCATATTGCTATAGAATTGTATCTCTAGCCGCAGCTTGTTTTTTTTATGGCTTATCAACCCATTGTGAGACATTTAAAGTCAAAACATTACTTTGGACTTTAAGATTAATACTTTTTTGTGTAGGAATAAAAAAAAAACTATTTAATCCATAGCTGAGGGGAGGAGATGGATTTATAACATTTCCCAAGAGTTTTTGCTTGAATATAACAAACTCAACTTGGATTCAAACTCAGCTCTTCAATTTCTCATCCTGAGCTAGTAACCATTACACCATGAATGCATCCACTCTAGGCATAGGAGTCCATGAACAAGTTGTCTTTCAAAGATGACTGGCAAATCAAGTTTTGAGGACAAAGGATATAAATAAGTTCATGTATCATCGAAATCCAACACACTTAAAACTTCATTTCTGAAGATTCCTTAACTCTTCCAAGAGTTCTGGAGTTTGGACATTGGGGAAGTGGGACAAGCAGGAACTTTTTATCACCTCCTCAAATGTATATGAAATGCTTAGTAGTTAGGTACAATTTATACAGTGTGCCCAAAAAGATTCTAGTAATTTTGAATAATGTGAGAACCTTTTATGCAACCTTGGTGTTACTTGCCAACCAATTAGAGGGGAGCTGACTACGCATGTGTGACTGGAATACATCCATGTCGATAAAGAGATGTCACGGAATGATCTTGTGTATTATCTAAGGATTACATTCAGAATTATTGATCCTCCTGCTTCTTTATATTTCATGTAGGGTTTTTGGCAAAAATGTCAAAATTCCCAAGAACTGTCAACACTCTACCTTCAGAACTGGCTTTTGGTGACTTCTGGCCTTTCTCCCCCTCCACAGTAAAATCAATGGCAGGAGGAGGAGATTTCAGACTGAGAAGAAGATTAAAGAGAATGCCATATAGTAGTTGGTGATATTCCCAAAATGAGAACTTTGCTTTGTGTTTAGAAAAGCAAAAGGGACATAGACAGAGAAAAATAGAGAGATCCTAATGGAAGTACAGGGAAGGAGTTATAGCAGGATACTTTCTGGACAGATGCTTGTTAGATTCTGTATTATGGTACACACACGCACACACACAAACAACTGGTAAAAAGGATATATTAAAGCCTTGAGTCAATAAAATGTGTAAGTTTCTTCATGGGCAACATAGTTTCTTCATTACCTGTGTTGATTAGAATTTTAGCTTTAGGGTATGAAGCAGTTAGTAGTAGTTTTGAGGGGTTTTTTTTTTGTTTGTTTTTTGCTTCTTCCTCTGCTCACAGCATGCTAAATTGTTTCATCAACTATGAGGAGCAGCATACAGTATTGAGAATTGATTTAGAGTTTACTTCACACTTAGGATATACAGTTATATACACACTGCATATGATATGCATGACTGTCAAACCAGACAGCAGAATGAAGATTCAATAAAAAAGCATGCCTGTCAGGAAAAAAAAAACTAGTTTGAAAGGAAGAAAGGTTTCCATACAGATACTGCTGCTAAAAGGTTATGGCATGTTTATGCTGATTAAAAATTGGATTCATTTGATACCATTTTCAAATAAGATAAAAAACCAGTGTTGAAAATTATTAAAATCCTTGTTCATACAAATCACTGTCAGAATCTTAGAAAATTGATTTCTTTTTCTCTTGTTATTTTGTCCAATGCATACAGAATGTGAAAATATTACAAATCTAAGCATTTAAAAATTAAAATTTTCTTAATCAAGAACTGATTTTAAACAGTAATATCAAGACAAAGATTATATAAGCCCCAGTTTCTATCTATAAAGGAACAATTAAAGTAACAATTTAGGTTCATGCACAGAATGGTGGTGATTATTGACACTTACTAAAAAAGTGTGGTAGAGTAACTAGAAGAAAGACAAATTGCCAAGTTGGTTACTTTCATACAAATACTGTAGGGAAAGGTATGAATCAATTCTCCTCCTAGCTATGGATTAAATAGCAAGACTAACTGGGATCTCTAGGTTTGGTTTGTTTTATGGCATATCAAACTCAATGGGTTATTTAATGCTGATAAGATTTTTACAATAGATTTGTATGAACAGAATATATATTCTTTGTAAGAAAACAGTCTGTAGATCCAGTTCCATTGATATCCTTTTGTAAAGACAGTTGTTGTCGAGAGTCTGGTTTCATTGATGTATTCTTTTCAGATACAGTTTGTAGAAAAATTGATTTTGACATATTCATTTGGTTTATAATTTTTTGTAGAATCCTACTGTTTTGAGAAATGATATATCATCCCCATTTACTTTCTCAAACAGTTTGTACATGTTGTTTATATTACAATATAGAGAGAGCAAGATTTGAGGACTTGGTTAATATATGTTTAATAGTATATGCTGTTCTACATGCTTGGCATACCAGTTTGTTTAATAAGTACTGTGAGAATTTTTCCTTGGTTTGATTTTTGCAGTGTTACTTTATATGTCCTTCATTACCACACTTGTAACATTCTGCTTTTTTAAAGGTACAGTCTTTTCCAAGGTGTAATTTACCACATCTGAAACAAGGATTTATTCTCCTTTTTGTACATTTGTCCTTTGCTCATAACAATACACATTCTTTTTCCTGAATTTCTTCAGAATTGTGTTTCAGATTTAGCATTGTCTGGCAATCATCCACTATTTCTTATAGTGTAATATTACAGTTTTATTCAATTTTTGTTAAACTTTTGCTCATATTTCAGCATCATTTTTATCTTTTAAGCATATCTGGAGTCATTCCCTTATTCTGAACTTTTCACATTCTTTGTTGATGATCTCAGCATATGTGACAAAATTTTCATTTATTTTGATTAGATTCACGAACCTCCACTGAACATTGAACAGAGAGCTCTTGTCACTAAAGATTTTCATCAAAATGTGTACTATGACTTCAAACCTGATGTCACCTGGTTTTCTTGGTAAAATGTAATTGCAGTATTTCTTATACACTATAAGACCTATTTTTCTCAACAACAATATCTATTCATATCTAAGAAAATAGACAAAATCAGTCCCTCATCAGTATTATATAAAAATTCAGATATGGTGTTTTGGACAGTGTCTGGCATAAGAAATGTTGAAGAATTTCTTTTTTCAGAATTATATCCAACAACTCTTGTTGCTGTTTTTGTAATTCTAGCAACTGTTGATTCTGTTGCTGTTATTTCTGTTGTTGTCAAATTTCAATGGAAGCCAAAATTTTTTCTATATTTGCAAGAATTTTTTTTTTAGCCAACATTGTTGAAATTCTTGTAACTCCTTGTTTCCAAAATCCTTGTTACAACAGTTATAAGGCATAAAAGTCCTGAATCCTTGACACAATGGTTATAAATCTTCTGAGTTTCAAATTCCTCATTGCCACTCTTATAATGCCACTATTATTATATACACACTCTTACTTTATACAATGTACTTCAGATAAAGATTCTCTATACATAATGCTTCGGCTACTTGCCATGATGCCTGTATAGTTAGTTTAAAGACCGACTCCAAACAACTACTAGTCTTACCTCTGACCTTGTATTCTTATAATAATGGACTAGTTCATTTAGTCACTGGGGATTCACTATTCACAAGAGAGGTACTATAACATTTTGACAAGAAAGAATTCTTTGTCCTTCAAATCATCTTAAAACCTTATCAAGTGAGAGATCAAGATATCTGGAAATGCTTGTGAAAAAAGAAAAGAAAAGACAATCCTTTGTTGTTACTATTCAAAGAGAAATGGTGGCAGTGGCACTAACAATTTATGGTCGACAGCTGAGAACAGCACTGCTAAAAAGAACCTCTGAGGCAAGTCCAGAATGTAATAGAACCACCAAGGAGATTTTCTGAACATAATAAAGCTGGGACCTTTGGGTGTTGAACACAAATAGAAAGCGAATAAATTGAATTAGGATCTCTTTGGGAAAGGATTTAACATATAATTTTTCTTTGCTGTGATTATCACTTGTATTAATATTGTGAAGAACAATCTGCAGTCAAAATTAGATGGACACAATCAGTTGTTTGTAATCATCTTTTTTTATTATTATTATTATTTGGCATATAAAAGGAGTAGAGAAAAATATGGAATATTATATCTACATAAGCATATACAGTTCACATACAGACATAAAAGATGCACAATTCGTTCAAACTGATAAACATTTTCAGATGACTCACTGCACAGATACACATACTGTATATATGTGGAAAAGATAAATTAAATCGGAACAATTCTAAGAAAAGGTATGACAGAAGAAAAATTATTTTGTGTCACTATTTCATCCTTTAGAACTACATCAGGCTAAATTGATGTTTACCTTGATATAAATACTCTTGTGTACATGTATATATTACATCATGTATATGCATCTATATATTACATGTATAGGTATGTGTGTGTGTGTGTGTATATATATATATATATATATATATATATATATATAGTGGTGTGTGTATATGTGTGTGTGTATACATATATATATATGCAATTTTTATATGCATTATTTATATATTATATATGCGCGGTACTTATTGGAAAGTGTTCAATATCAGTGATAGAGCTAACATATTCCGTTGGATTGATGTGAGTTTGTGACTTTGGGTTTCACTATTTGCAATCGTCAGTTTGTTGAGTTATATATATATATATATATATATATATCAGTCATGTATATATTACATCAATATAAAACACCACTTTAGTCCAATGAAGTCTTAAAGGACAAAAATTCTCACAAAAATTATTTCCACTGTCATAGCTTATATATATATATATATATATATATATATATATTAAACAACATTTACCGGCCTAAATGACAGTTTTGTATAGGATACAGGTTCGAATCCTGTCAGAGGACGAATATTTTCTGTGAAAATTTCTCGGACATTCAGGCTGGTAAATGTTGTTTAATACTGTTTATTATAAACAGAGCATTTACTCAAATATTTGTATCTATAAAAGAATGTATAAACATAAAATGTCTTAAAATAATTGTCGGAATTTGTCCATTTCATAATGTGTGACATCATATTATATATATATATATATATATATATATATATATATATATATATATATATGTATGTATGTATGTAGGCAGGTGCATATTTATATACACAAAATATATTCATGCATACATACAACTTTACACATACACCAACTTCTATATAAATACATTTAAACCCCTTCATGTAACACCATAAATCTACATACAATATCTATTTACACCAACCTACACACTTATTCCTTCATAAATAAACGGCCACATGCAAGAAAAGGCAATGAAATGATAACAGAAATAAACAATTATGCATTCGGTTGATAATAAACGCATTCTGACAAGATTTGTTCTTCCCCCAAGGGTAAAGAATTTTGGGAACTGTGATAATCATTTGGAAATGACAACACGAGGGGAATACAAAAGCAAAAATCAATCGCTCAAGATTTAGGTGTAATGAAGCACACAAAGGGAATTGTTGCAGGCCAGAATTACGTACATCATTTCCAATAAGAAGTTCCTTGTTCTCAACAATCCCCCAAGGAGCAATACCAATGGCAACCACTTTGTTTTTTGCTTTGGTTGTGCGGTCACTGATGGCATCACCAACATGTCTGGTCACTCCTGTAAAGAAAGATAAAATCGTCCGGATTTTAATGTCTCAAAAGAAAATATACACAAAAAAAAAAAGCTGAGACAAAATAAAAGAAGTTTCCCCAAACCAAAGGCTGGTTGCATTTTAGGATGACAAAAATATATTTTCAAATGAGCCTGAATACTTAAAAAAAAAATAAGGCCAAAGCTTTTGACATCTTTTTATTACTTTTTATCACAATATTCTCAAATGATTGATTCTTCAACTGTTTATATAAACAGTACAATATTAGAAGAAATAGTTTTCAAAAAGACTAACATTCCATACTTTGGAACTTCCTTTTACATGGCAATGCTTTAAGTGCTTATGATTACATCACGTTGAAACACCAATTCCTGTATGATCACTGAAGTTAAGCAATGTCAGGCCTGGTCAGTACCTAGATGGGTGACTGCTTGGGAATACCAACAGCTGTAAGCTTTGATGTGTGGATTGTGTAATAGATAATAGCTTGGAATTGTTTATTGGCAAGCTGAGTTCTAATTCCCATTAGGTTCATTATACTCACTTATGCACAAATACTCTTGGGAAAGGTATGAATCCACCTCTTCTCCCCCTAGATATGGGTAAATTAGTATTGTCTTAAAAAAAAAAAAAAAAAAAAAAAACTTCTATAATTTAAAACAAAAATTTTCTAGATTTAAATAAACTGCATAAGATATACAAAATGAATGAATCAATCAATGAAAAGCAATACTTTAATCAAATTCACCAAGAAAAGCTTCTATAATTAAGCAGGACTTTTGAGCTATAATTATTCTCCTTTTTTTCTATGCCATGTTGTTTTTTTTACTCACAAGAATAGTCATAGCATACATGTTCAAAGATTACATGATGAAATCTTTTCACTATTAACTCTGATTAATGTTTCCCTCTTTCTTTTTAAAAACAAAAACAAGTCAGCATCCACCAAAAATAAGCTGACAGCAAAAACACTTGCATCCATGAATTTAGATGTACCTAAATAAATTATTACAAGTCAAAAGATTTCTTCATTTCTTTTGTTGCATTTTATGTTATATCAGGATGTTCTGGATATGATGATAAACTCCATCTGGCAGCAAGGCCTCTGATGAAAAGGTTTTGAGGAGCTTGGAACTACCTTTTAATTATTGTTCCCAGATATACCCTGACTTAAGGTGGTAGCACCTATTAGCGTCCCAGCTATGGGCAAATAGTTAACCCCTAAACTGAGGCTCAAAACACTATGAAAGTATAAAAATAGACTTTTATAGTAAACATACCAGCAATTTATTTTTTGAAGAAAAAAATATTACCAGCAATACATCTTTGAAAAAAATACATTAATGAAACCTGGTCAACAAACTAACTCCTTACAAAGAATAAATATTCTATTCATATGAATCTATTCTAAAAATTTTGTTGGCATTAAATAACACATTGAGGTTGATAGGCCATAAACAAAATAAATCATACCATTATATCAGCTGACAAAGAATCTAAAATCTTAAATAGTTTAAAATAAAACTTGAACTCAAATCCCATACTTATTACTTTAACCAGATTCAGCCACAGAAGATTTCATTGTTAGGCAGGACTTTTATCACCATTCTGTTACCTTTTCTTTCTTAGCTAATGGCAATATCATTTGTTTGAAGTCAAATGCCATATGTGATACGCACTTTGGTAATCAGGTCTCTTATGATTCATGACTGACTAGACAGAAGATTTCCCATAAAAGCCTAGTGTTTCTTTCTGTTGTAAACTGGTTGCCAACCAAGGCTAAAGGACCCAGTCTGTTCTGTTATCAAGCCCATAGCTAGGGCCAGAAGAGATAGATACATGCAAATACCTTTGGGAATAGTATGTAAGTGAATGTAACAAACCTGACTGGAATTTGAACTTGGCTCTCTGATTTCTTTTTCTGAGCTGTTATTCATTGCACCACCCACACATCCATCATTTGTTTACTAACCTATTATTATTATTATAATAATATTGGGTGTAGTAATAGTACACAATGGTTTTTTGATATTCTTAGATGAATGATTTGTATTATATGTTTTTATTAATTTCTGACAAGTTTTGTCCTGGACTTTCTGAGAAGATAGACATTAAAAACCAATAATGTCATAAAAATACTTCTATTCAAAACCATAAAAAAAAGCTGAAAATACAAATACACACTCTGCTGATTGAAACTGAAGAGTTCATTATCATGAAGCTGAAGAAACTTTTTTCCTCCCCACCACAAAATTTTTCGTAATGTAAAAAGTAAATATTTTGTCCTAATAAACAAAATCTTCAATATGACAATCACACCCAAGAGAATTCACCTTCCCAACATTAATTGTCATTCAAGCTGTGACATTGTCAACAAGACCAAAAAGAGACAATGAAGAATTTTCCTGTGCTACGAAACATATTCAATCAAAAGAAATAAGACAATGACAATAACTGTGACACTTTGCAAAAAGACTTTTTTTTTTTTTTTGATTGATTCATTTTTTATGGTTTATCAATCCTTTCCAGATTATGAATTCACCTATTCTCCTTCCAGTTAATATTTTTACATTGTAAGATTTTTTTGAAAATGGTTTAGTGATACAAGTCTTATAGCTGTGGAGAGAAGACATGGATTTATACCTCTTCCCAAGAATATTTGCACATTTTTTTTTACAACAAGATTCACTCTTTACAAGGCCCATGGGACACTCAAGGTAGAGTATTATATTTAGAGGCCATTTGTATATATAGGAATGGGAGACAATGGTTTACCCCAGTCATGAACAGATTGCAGTGATCAGGGGAAACATCCTGTCGGGAGTCAGTTCTATAGAGCGGGGGTTTGTAGGAAGAAGCTGTTCAAGTGGAACTTACTTCTCACCGATGGGATACAAAGGGAATGTGGGTGATTTGCTACTATGATTGATTCATTTTCTATGGTTTATTAACACTTTGCAGGTTGTTTAAAGCCAGAAAATATTTTTAGATGGTAAGAATTTTTTTTTGGGGGGAGATAATAATGATTTGATGATACTAGTCTTACTACTTAACCCAGAGCTGGGGAGGAGAAGGGGTGAATTCATACATTTCTCAAGGGCATTGGCACATAAGTGAATATAATGAACCTAACAGGATTTCAAATTCTGAGCCATTATCCATTACTCCACCTGCACATCCAAGCTTAGAGCACCTGATATTTCCAAGTGGTCACCCATCTAGTTACTGACTGAGCTTGACATTGCCTAACTTTGGTGATTCTACAGTAACCCGTGTTTCAACATGATACGGCCATAAGCCAATTTGCATAAAAATTAGTAGTAGTAAAAATAATTCTTTAGGGTTTTTTTCTGACTAACCTCAATTCCATGTATTTATTCCTACTGGAACAAATACATGGTTTGCATATACAATTCAAAATCTGATTTGCATGTGTTCTTTTCCTTGCTCCATCACTGATTTGCACAAACAGCTATAGGGCTTTTGTACAAATTCATACATTCCTCCTGTGGACCAAATCTACGAACACACCAGGTTTGTAAAGAGTTCAACATCTATTCAGGTTTAACTGCCCAACAACTGCCTGAAGATGGAACAGATAAAAACTTAACACTTTCTTGCAATATAGGGAGTTTTCTTTGAGGAGGCGTTGAAAAGTTTTCAGTCCAATCCACTTCTCAAAATCTGACCAAATCAATTTTTTTTTTGCTGGCAGCCTTCTTGGTTGGACCAAGCGTATTTTTTCAGCACCCCTCATATAAAATATATTTTTTAAAGTTTCCATGATTTTTAACTCTCTCTTTTGATAAAATGTGGCAACAGTTAAAACAATGTAAGGAGTTTTTTTTTTTTTTTTTTGATTGGGGGAGAAGGGGAAATGTGTGTGTGTGTGTGTGTGTGTGTGTGTGTATGTTTCCAAATGATACTGAACACAACAAAACTAAAAATAGCTTCATTGTGACTAATTTTTTTTTTTTTTTTTACCAGGCAAGTCATGAATGTTTTCGATTTTACTTTTGAGATCAACTGAGGCTACAGGGAAAACAAGCTGATAACTCATGAAATATTAATGTTTACTAGAAAATAATAATAGAAAATTATTAGAAAAATCCATTTAAAAAATAATACATACCTCTAGCACATATAAGTCTCTCTAATAAACAAAATGCAAGAAAAAACAACAAAACACACTCACAAATGATTCATGGACTATAAAGGACTTTATAATCCATAGATTGCGACCCAAACTGGTATAGAGTGTTTATCAATAAGCCCTTAACTGATTATATTTCATTAAATCCTCAGTTGACACTTTATGACTAAAGTTATAAAGTTTTGAATTGATTGTCTAACAAAGAAAATATTTTGTATGAAAGAATTATTTCAAGAACAATTACTTTAAAATAATTTTCCTCTTAACTATGTGCTCACCCAACTGAATGTTTTAATTTCCAGGCAATGCCAGGTATCCTATTATTAAAGAATATTTACATTCACCTTTTTCAGATAAACATAAAATATAGACAAATGTACTAAAAATAGTACTGAATGAAAATAATAAACTCATAAAATCCATTATATAAAGCTGTGTAAATATTTATACCATTCTATACAATACAATGAGCAATGATAATGAATGCTATGCCAAAGATTTGCATGGCTTCTTTTGTATCTTAATAGCTTGAATGTTCATTGTATCACTGAACATTAATGATTAACAAAGCATGAAAATGATTTTATATCATCTTAATAATATTAAGGTAATTTTTTTAGATTTTATTTACTGATAGTTCACTCAATACAAGACGCAAAGCAGAGTATTACTAAGTGAGATGGTTGTAAGGAAAGAGTAATTAAGAAATACATATTATAAGGACATATAGGATAGTTATTGGCTGAGCCTGGACTTGAAACCATGATTGTAGTTGTCAGGAAAACAGTCTCTCAGGATTTTGCTCCACAAAGCAACAATTCTAGGGAAGAAGCTGTGTGAGTGAGAGTTGCTCCTTATCAAAGGAACAGGAAGAGAAAAAGGATGAATAGGGGAACGGTAAAGGAGAAAGGGGATGAACAGGGGAGCGGTAAAGGAGAAAGGGGGTGAACAGGCGAACAGTAAAGGAGAAAGGGGGTGAACAGGGGAACAGTAAAGGAGAAAGGGGGTGAATAGGGGAACAGTAAAGGAGAAAGGGGATGAATAGGGGAACAGTAAAGGAGAGAGTTCAATACCATGAACAAAAACTTGGAGAGTTGAGTTACTAAAGATATCCAGAAAAGGCATGGCATGTGGAACTAGAAACTAAAACAATCTACCCAGTGGACTAAATAAAGGGTTTAGTTCAATATTCCAATGTACATTACCTGAAAAAGAATGGAAGCGTACAACGACTAAAACATTGTGAATATGACAATAAAGTCGAGGACAACAGGTAAAACAATGTAAATAGTTTAAATATCTCGAGTCATGTATTACATATATTATTGCATTCAAGGTGCTTCAGTATCTAATATTAAGCCTGTCTACATCTCAAATAAATACAAAATTCAATTTAGTCTCAAAAGTACTGAGGGCACCTATGAATCAAATAGGTCTTTTGTTATCAAATGTGATGTAATCTACGGTAATCAGTTAAAGACAACTCACCTGTGTTAGTTCCACCAGTCACAATCCAGGCACCTGCAGTTTTTGCAGCCTTCAAAAGACCCTTCCGGAAAACCCGCTTCAGTTTAGGCTGAAGGTCAAAGTTTAAGATGCCGCCATGGACAGTTATCAGCAGTTTGGGTAAGTCAAGCCCCCAGAATTTTTGTAACAGTTCCAAAATATTTTCTGGTTTACTATCGAAACTGCTCAAGCGAACGTACTGGAGGAAAAAAAAAAGAAAAAAAAAGAACAAATTTTTTAATGCAAATAGACTCAAACTTTTTCATGTTTGAATTGGCAACAAAGTGACAAGATTTATTCAATCAAAGGAATTCTCACTATGTCAAGCACAGAAACTAAGAATAGGATCAATAGAGCAAAAATCAAGACTGACAAGTGAAAACTACAAGAATGGTTTTCAGGCAAATGATCAGGAGAAAAGGCTTGCATCCTGTATGTTGACATCATTAACAGCTTTGGAAAGATGAAAATTCCTTGTGAGAGAAAATAAAGGAGTGGTAGGGGGTAGTTAAAAATGCAAATAGCTAATATTTCCTAGCATCAAAAGAGAGAAAAAGTGAAAGTGAGAAAAAGGGTGATAGAGAGGGTAAAAGAGATAGAAAAGTGAAGGAGAGGGTAAAAGAGATAGAAAAGTGAAGGAGAGGGTAAAAGAGATAGAAAAGTGAAGGAGAGGGTAAAAGAGATAGAAAAGTGAAGGAGAGGGTAAAAGAGATAGAAAAGTGAAGGAGAGAGAGAGAGATAGAAAAGTGAAGGAGAGAGAGAGAGAGATAGAAAAGTGAAGGAGAGAGAGAGAGATAGAAAAGTGAAGGAGAGAGAGAGAGATAGAAAAGTGAATGAGAGAGAGAGAGAAAGAGAAAAGGGAGAGAGAGAAAGAGAAAAGGGAGAGAGAGAGAGAAAAGGGAGAGAGAGAGAGAAAAGGGAGAGAGAGAGAGAAAAGGGAGAGAGAGAGAGAAAGAGAAAAGGGAGAGAGGGAGAGAAAGAGAAAAGAGAAAGAGAAAAGGGAGAGAGAGAGAGAAAGAGAGGGGGAGAGAGAGAGAGAAAGAGAAAAGGGAGAGAGAGAGAGAAAGAGAAAAGGGAGAGAGAGATAGAGAAAGAGAAAAGGGAGAGAGAGATAGAGAAAGAGAAAAGGGAGAGAGAGATAGAGAAAGAGAAAAGGGAGAGAGAGATAGAGAAAGAGAAAAGGGAGAGAGAGAGAGAAAAGGGAGAGAGAGAGAAAAAGGGTGAGTGAGAGAGAGAGAAAAAGGGTGAGTGAGAGAGAAAAAGGGTGTGTGAGAGAGAAAAAGGGTGTGTGAGAGAGAAAAAGGGTGTGTGAGAGAGAAAAAGGGTGTGTGAGAGAGAAAAAGGGCAACAGAGAGAGTAAGAAATAAAAAAGTGAGAAAGAGATGTGACAGACAGACAGAGAGAAAGGTGGCAGAGGTTAGGGTTGAGGTTAGTGAAGTAAAAGAGAAATTGATAGAAATAATGAACCAAAATTTAGCAATAAAAGAAAATGCACCTATTAATTTGAAAAGAAATTTTTTTTTAACTTAATAATAAAGGTCATCTTTTTAACCTTTTGCATCATTAAGTCATTTCAGTGCCATCAGGAATAAAAGAATTAAAAATAAAAATACACACACACTCATTAGATGTCTTTTTTAACAGTAAAATTTACATTAATTTCATATTATGTAATTCTCACAGAAAAAGGCCCACAGATTTCATATGACACACACAATTGACAGCTATTCCACCAGGTGATCTAAGATGTCTCTTTATTCCATGTTAAAGGAAGTAAAATGTTACGTTTAAAAGAATGAGAGAAAACTTATATTTACATAGTCTCTCATGTTTTTCTCCATTCAAATTTCAAAAATAATATTTCTTCTAAAATTGTAAAAAAATTTTTTTATTCACATTTTGTTTTTTAAAGCTGATTGTTCAGTCTCAAACACCTGGGAATAATGCTGTACCTTGCAGAAATATTTAAATTCAGAACTTTGACAAATTGAATTCTAATCATTTTACTTCTAAGATTGATTATATTAATTATTAAATGTTATAAATCCTAATGAAAGATGTCACTGAAAAAAAGTAACAGCAAATGTGTTTAGAATAAAGCTTCTTTATGATGGTAGAAATGACAGGAATTAATACGAGGTTTATTCATAACCAACATTGTTTGAACAACTGAACCACTTCTTTGTATATTTACATTTGTTAATAGCACGTATCAACTAATTCATTCTTCAACCTGAACAATATTGGATATGTTAATGACTTTTCAATATTATTAATAATGTCATATTTATTCACATAAAATCAGGATTATTTTATATCAACCAAAAGCCACAATAAGGTAGAAGGGAACATTATACATGTGTGTAATATTGACAAAAGTGTTTACTTTTATCAACAGATTAAATGCTACTTACAATGGTTGGACTCAAAAAAAAACACTTTTTCTCATAAATGGCCCATTTATGTCTAAAACTAGTTTTATTTGGCTGGAATAATTTGAAATCCCAGTCCAGGGCCTTCTCCCACCTGTTGGTGGAACTCCTACTTGACGGACAGTGTTTTCAAGGTTGTAGCTGTACTTACCTCACTTGGTCAATTGCAGTTGGGGTGGACGGCTGCTGATTCTGAGGAGTTTGTCTGTCCTTTAACAGCTCATTTCTTGTGCTGCATTGTTCCCCTTGCCTTTCTCACCAGATTAGGGTCTGGTGGGAGAGCCTGTTTAGTTACAGACCACTTGACCATTCAAGTTTTGAATTCAGAGTTGTCCATCCCCAAAACTGGTTGCCACCCAAGGTTAAAGAACTCAGTCTGTCCTACTATCTATCCATAGCTGGCGGGAGAAGACATGGATTCATACCTTTCCCAAGAGTATTTGCATGTAAATGAATGTAACATATCCCACCACCAGCATTAAAATATACAAATCTACAGTTTAAATTGATTTCTAAAATTGTTTTAACAAGAAAATGTATAACACAGGCCAAAATGATTATTTTATACTTTCCATGTAGAAAGAGAGAGGGGGGGGAATGATATATAAAAATAAAATAAATATTTGCTTATTTGCCCTATTTGCCTACAAAAATAGGGGCTCATAGACAAATAAATGTGGTATATACATTTTATAAATATTACATGTTATATACAAAGAGGTGATAAAGTTCTTAGTTTGACTCACTTACCAAAGTCAGATTAAACATCAGGTTATTGGGGAGTACATTTTGGTTGGGCTGAGAACTGTCCTGCACAACATCATAAGTATTTAGTAACTGAAGATTGTCTCCTGAAGTTTATTTTATAGGTAAAAATGAAAGAATATGAAGAATGAAAATGACCCAGAATTCCAGATGAAAAGGTTCATCATCCTTGGCCTCAAAATCATGAAATCAATGGTATTGGAAATTTGAAGACAAGCAAAAAAGGAAAAAAAAAAATTTTTTTTTTCTTTTTTTTAAATATTTTGAGAATTCACTGAATTTCCAATTTTGAAAACTTACTGAAATACACTCCTTGTTGGAATTTAATTCTAATGAAAATTTTAAAAAGAATTCATAATGTGATTGAAACAAATATATCTAAAGCAAAATGCATTAACGTCTCTGCAGGTAAACTTTCAAGGGAACATTAAAAATAACAAACAGACAATAAAATAAATTTTCAATACACTCATTCTTTTTTTCTCTTTTCAAGTTACAAATTGATGATATTAATTATTAATATTTAACATCTTTCTCATAAATTAATCCCAATGGGATGTGCTTTAAGATTATAAATAACGGTGAAAATGCTAATGAAGATGCTGTTGCAATAAGATAGTGCAGTTTATTGCATTACAGCAAACATCTTAGCTTTTATAAATAAAGAGTAAGCGAATTAACCATTTCTTACGTTTTTTGAATTGGGATATTTTTACATAACATTAGTAGAATATCTCATCAGTGAACCCAGAATAATCACTGCTGTCATTTGTCTATTTTCCATCTTTTATTATTTTTATTGATTCATTGCCAGAGTAAAAGACCCACAAGAAAGAAATTTTTAAAAGAAATATCTCATCAGCAACTCTCAAGGGATTTAAGCTTTGGTCTTGAGTTTTTCTTCAATAGATTGATTTCCAGTTGCCACAAAAAATGTAGTCGGACATCAGAGTTTTGCTATTATTATTAATTTATGAGATGAATATTAATTCCCATTCAAAGATTCATGCTTCTCCTCCTGACTTAGTCATTAACTTTGTAATAATAAATAAGACAAAAATCTTTCTAAGCACAAATTCAACAGAAGAAATAACTTAATTATAAAAAATTATATAATCACAGATCTTTTGGTTTTTAACAAAGAAGACGTTTCAGAAAGAATTGTTCTTTTTTTTTATTACATTAGTGACAGTCCAAGATATGAGTAACAACTTAACGATGTCAATATTAGGCAGGTGCAACTATCTGGGTTGTAGAGGAACAGGTGAATGAAAATATAATAGAACTTTCTTCTATGATACCTAAACCTTACAATTTTAAACACAGAACTAAATTTACAGCAATGTCACATCATTTTACAGTTAAAAGGGCTAAATGTGACTGTAAATTCTATGCTAACAGTTTCTTCTCTCACACTTCTTGCTTGTGGGACTCTCTTCACCTTCTTACTTGCCAGTCAACCTTAATCTTCAAAAATTTAAATGCAATGTTAATTGTTATCTTCTGTCTCCTTAATTCCAGTTCTTTTATTATTCTCCCTCCTTAATGTTTTTTTTTCTCATATTTTCTCACACTCAGTAATCCCTTATGTCTTAGTGGCTTGCTTGGGGTGAAATGAATGAATAAAAAAAAAAAAAAACTCTAAAGGCAAAGAAGAATAAAAAGAGAAGCTCTTCAGAAATTGAGCATTGGAAATGAAGTATTGGACTGCTACGTAATGTTTCATCACCAAAACAGCAGTGATTTTATAGACAATTTTTACCGACAAAGTGGAGAATCTCATAGTCCGAGCAGATGGCAAATGATGTTTTAAAGAAAACTGCTACTAACAATTAGAAAGAGATTGAAGTTTTATTGGTCACATGATGAGGAAGGAGTACCTAGAGAAATTAACATACAGAGATCACATTGAAGGCAAAATAGGTAGAAAAAACTTAAGTTGTTAAATAGCTCAAATGAATATTTACTACCCAGCACAAGTATTGAACTGGTAGCTTTCAGCTAATGAAAACATGTGCTTTAATAAATTGATCTGTTCCACCTGTAGTTGAAATGGGTTCTGCCCATTGAGTTCTCTAGAAACTTATTGTTTTCCACTGGCAGGAGATATAAAATCCCTTTGCCTTAGGCTGGGATTTATATTCTTCTAATATTAAGTCCAAACACCAGCAGGCCTTCCCTCCAGTCATTACCTCTCCCATGGGAGGGAGCTGGGTTTAATTACCCCGCACCTAAGGCATCCCCAAAAGGGGAAATGCTGAGAGGGCTTGGGAATTTTTCAATGGTACTGCCATTAAACCCACTTTAAGCCTCGACCTTGTGTCATATCCAGTTGCTATGTGGACATGCTGGTAGATATCTATAAAATCTATTTGCCTGGCAAAGTTATATCAGATTAAATCAACAAAAACAGCAGTTAAACTACGAGTTTAAGCAAAGAGATGAAGAAACAAGTACTGTAAAGAAACAGAGAAACTGTAAAAGGGGCAAGTATTGCTGAAAACAGTAAAAGAAACAATCACAGAAAATCAGGAAGATTTACATCTTGAAGAGTCATAGCACATAGAGAGAGATCGAATCATAGATGAGAAGTATGGAGTGACATCACTACCACCATGAATTCAAGTTGAGTTTTTATGTTCACTTTATCCAAATAGACCAAGGCACAGATTCACTTCCCTCTATCCTATCACATCATCTGTTATCTTGAGAAAACCACTTGTCACTTGTACACCACAATTAGAGAAGAGAATGATCAAGTGAACACTTAAGCAAACAGTTCACCCATAAGAAGCCAGAATGCACCATACTATCTCCAGAGTTGTATCACTCACATATTCCATTTGTAAAGAGGGACTTCCATTCACAATCAGACAGCTTTGTCCTCACAAACACCTACTTTGTGGATCAGACTCCCATGTGGATGCTTCCTGAACATTACAATTTTAAACCCTTCAAGGGTCAATTGCTATCTGTCCTTCTTATCCTCATATTCTTGACTTCCTGCTATCTCCTCTTAAATTCATATCAGACAACTTATTCAGTACTCTTCTACCAAGAGTGACCATTGAACTTAGTTTTAGGTAAACTTTTGTATGAAAAGAAAAAAAAAAAAGAAAAAAAAAACTTCCAGGCAAACCTCACTAAGAACCCTTACCATTATCAACTTTGACAGGAATGACTCATGATGTCTCTCATACAGTGGCTTATTTAAACCAATCAGCAGAAAACTGAATGAAATCTCAAACAATATTTCTGTAGTGTAAATGTGAAAGCATTTTGTTCAATCATTGACTACTTCTTGCATTTATTAGGCAGAGTATTTTCACTTTTTATAAACCTTTACAACAAAAGTTTATTTCAGGTACACAGATGTAAATGTAAAAATGAATATTAATTTCCATTTATGTAGATGTACAGACAATCTATGAATTCATCCCATTATTTTATTGTCACATATGTCATCATCAGTACTCATCACTTGTACTTTCTCTTTTAGATATTATAATGGCAGATACAGATGTTGTGATTCTGGCAATTTTGAAGCTGCTCACAAAAATTGGGAAGTAAAAGGAAATGAAAAATCATATACAAATCTGAGGCTGTTCAAGGATTTAGAAAGTGGACAAAAGCAAAGCAATATTTGACTATACTGCCCTGAACTGACTTAAGCCTTTAAAAGGTAGTGACTTGTATCTTGAAATAAAGCCCAGAAGTGGACAATCATAAATTGTAGATTAAAATATAAACTTTAAGAAGCTGATCACCTACATTCAGAAACTAGGGTCACCAAAAGATACTATTTTGTTAACATCAATACTATTCAGCTCTATGTTTGGTTTCAGATACCATAATGGCAGATACGAATATTGAGGTAAGTTTAATTTAATCTGGGCCTTAAAGATACTGAGAATGCTCACAGAAGTGGAAGGAAATGAAAAACATATACAAAGCTTTTAAGAATGGTGATTTGTCTATGAAATAAAACTTCTAAGTGGACATCAACACGATATTAATTATGAAGCATTAAAATGCAAGATGGGGGAGAGGGACAAAAACCTCAACACCAGCACTCATAAATTCTCAGACGAGATAGAATCATCAAAACGTTCCATATATATATATATATATATATAAATGGTGAAGTAATGGATAGCAGCTTGGATTGAGGAATCAGAGAGCCGAGTTCAAATTCCAGTAGAGTTCAATACATTCACTTACATGCTAAAACCACTGGAAAAAGTATGATTTCATCTCTTTTCTCTCCAGCTATTGGGTAAATAGGAGGACAGATTATGAGAAGGACAACTCTGAATTCAAAACTTACATATTTAATGAACTTATCTTAATATGACACAAGGTTAAAAAACAAGGAAATTGATGAAGTAAGATTGTATTGTTGTATTGGCTTTGAAAATCCTGGCTTCTTATCTGGACTTAACACCAATTGCAGACACCAGCTGAAAATATGTTGTTATTTAACTTATCAAACTGTTCTAACTTATTTAGACACAAGGTAAAAATTATGGGAAAGTCAGTGAGAATCAAACTCACTATTGAGCAATGGGTGACCTCTCTTAAGAATACCAGGTGCTCTAAGCTTGGATATGTGATTGCTGTAATGGATAATGACTTGGAATTGTTAATCAGAGTACCAAGTTCCAACTCCAGTTGAGTTCATTGCATTCACTTTAATAAGCTTGCAAAAGACATGAATCTATCTCTTTTCTCCCCAGCTATGGGTAAATAGCAGGACAGGCTGGGTCCTATAGCATGGGTGATTAACAGATTAGGAGAAAGACAATTCTCAATTTATAACCTGCGGAGTGTCATTTGGGGACACTGTTGCATACTGTACACTAGTTCTCTGGCACTCCCAGAAAGTGTGGTTGGTTTTGCACAAGCCTTCACCACTATAATCAAATGATATATGTGGCTAGTCTGGCTGTTTGGTTCTAACAACTGAGCTGCTTGATCCTCATATATCGAAAATGATGGGGGAGTCCTATATATAATTAATAAACAATAAAATCCCAAATCACTTCATATGGGGAATAGCCTATTTCGGCAGATGAAGATATTGGTTGTTGTCTTATCAAACCTGGTGTGGACTGTTTATGTGAGAAATAGAAATTTAACTGTGAAAGCTAAAGGAAAAAAAAGAAAGAAAGAAAAAAAGGAAAGAAAAAAGAAAGAAAAAAAGGAAAGAAAAAAGAAAGAAAAAAAGGAAAGAAAAAAGAAAGAAAAAAAGGAAAGAAAAAAGAAAGAAAAAAAGGAAAGAAAAAAAGGAAAGAAAAAAGAAAAAGAAAAGAAAAAAGAAAAAATAGAAAAAAAGAAAAAAAGAAAAAAAGAAAAAAGGAAAAAAAAAGAAAAAAGGAAAGAAAGAAAAAAAAGGAAAAAAAAGGGGGGGAAAAAAAAGAAGAAACAACCAGTAACCAGTTGAAAAACTAATACAGGATTTATCCATTTCCCTGTTTCAGTTAAACAAAAGGCACAAGACAGGGTTCAAAGGAGGGTGGAAGGTATTTGTCTTAAAGGGAAGAAGTTTTTTAAAATTAAACCCAAATTTTAACCTTATGACATTAATTTGGGGTTATACAAAGAATGAAATATTAATTTAAAATTAAAAGAGAAATAAAAAGGAGTTTAAAAATAACTTTAAAATATATAGATAAATATAATTTTATGTCTTTGATTACAACTACATCTAAAACAATCAAAGACTTAATCAATAAAAAACAAAACAACCAGCCAAAACGTGAAGGAGGAATTCACTCTATCAAGTTCAGAAATTGCCAGAATTAATACAATGGAGAAATCTCAAGAGGTTTAAACAAGAGACTATATGAACAGAAAAGGGACATTTTAAATAACAACATGCAAAAGGCATTGATTGTTCACTGTAGCAAGGCGAACCACAGTTTTGACATGGGGAATGCTACTTTGATTGAAGGAGAAGGTGATCTACTGAGACGATAATGTCTGGAAAGTGCCTTGATCACTAGTTCAGCCGCAATAAATTTGCATTCAGGCACTTACAATATATCACCATTCTTGGTAAATTTTATCTTGTCACAGTGTGTGATAATCAGGAACAAAAGGTGGAGAAAAAGAATACAGATGATTTGGGCTAGATTGAAAAGAAAAAGAAAAAAAATTCTTTCAAACATTTTTCTTTCAAAAGATTTTGAAATTGCCTTCATCCCTCGTTTCATGCACATGTGTAGATGTGGCAATGTCATCAAAGCCCAGTCAGATGAAACGTGTCACAAAAAAAACTTTCCAGTTTGTTATATTTTTTTCTAAATACTGTTTGTTGATATATAAAAAAAAAAATTATATATTGTTATATCATTCATATTATATATATATATATATATATATATACACACACACACACACACACGCATATATACATACATAATAATAATAATAATAGCTGGACACTCATATTTGAGGATACTAGTCTACTAGGGTGGTTAGCCAATCCCTATTATAGACTCTCACTCAGGCACATTTGTGTTTGTTCAACACCTACAGAGCCAACCTGTGGTTAAATCTGCAACTATGCTGAACAGACCTTAGTTACAGTTATCTAGAATGATCAACAATTTGAGTAGCACCAGCACACTCAAACCCTCGGTCACGATGACTTGTGACTTCATGCTAGCCCAGCTATTGATGACCCCAAGTGTTCCATCTACCCAATTTTACTCACAAGGTTTGGGTCAACACAGAATATGGCTTTTGGGCACTTTCCAAAGGTGCCGCACACTGGAATTGTCCCCCACTACAGACTGATAACATCAGGAAGTGGCCTTCCTAACAAATCGACTATATATATGTGATATTGTAGTTTAAATGAGTCTATTACTCGGATATCGTTCGTACAATTCAAGATACTGCTGGTTCAATCTGCCGTTCTTGACTTCCGCACACTTCAAAATGTAAACCCAGTCTTCTCTTCTCACTGCTTCAGCCCACTTTTAACAGGACAACACTGTGGCCAACCAACTAATTAGCGTTCTTCACTTTTATAGCCTCCTCCAGTCCGACCAATCACCACATGACTTTCTATTGGCTGAAGCATGCCAAACTGTAGTAAAATCCTTGTTACCGCACATACTGATGGAATAGCTAGATGGGAGAGTAATGCCATTTTCAAGGAGCAAAATTGCCAATGCAACACATTGAAGTAAGACCCTTATTTCCCTTTGCACCAGATGCAAGCAACTCTGGCTCACTTGCTTCTATGTGATTGTTCATCATAGATATTTATTTCAGATTTTAAGTTTTTACACCCTACACACACACATCTGAATTGTCTTTATTGGTTGATAAAAAGTTTAAAAGAATAAAGAGATTGGTCTACAGCCAACTAATTAATGAAAGTAGCCATGAAAGAACAGTTTTATACAACTTAGAGAATGGGAGCCATGACATGGAGCTATGGTTAAGGAGTGCTGCCTTTCAAGTTGTCTTTTGATTTTTGTGATCTATTAGCAATTCCTCAGTAGGGAAACTAATGCTTTATTATCAGCAACAGTCAATTTTCTTTAGGTTTTCTTTTTAAGCATCATTTTCTTGGAAGAAAACAAAGGGGAAAGGAAGATAAGGAGGATTGATATCATGATTGTCAGCCAGCTACACATAGTCTCCCCATACTCTGGAGAGAAAGTGGTTCAGACAAGAATCTGAACCCTTGACTTCTCTACTTGTTTATGCACAGTTTTTTTTTCTGCCTTATAATAAAACTTAAAAACAATCCATCACTGTCAGAATTTCATACCCACAAGATTCAAAGCACCACCCACTCAAAGTTCTGACCAGTACAGGGTCTGGAATTGCATTCACTACAATTATCATTTTGCCATATTTGTCTAGCCTACACATTCAGTAACGAGCTCATCTAAAAATTTATTCATATTATTAAGAATTTGAATCTCACTGGGTTTCCAATTCTAAACACTTCTATCACTTGGAAAAATGTCAACAAAAAAGCAAGTTTGGTATTGCATTCCCACTGGGGGTGTCAATGAGCCATAAAATGATACCATCTAAAGATGTAGCTATTATTTATAGGCTGTCTTTTAGCCCTAAGATGTATTATTGATTGAAAGGTGGATTGCTTCAAAACGCTTTCAATAACTGTAATTTAAATGGATGTTATTTAAATGGTGCCTTGTGTCTGTTTTCTGTTTGTAACAGATTAAGGCGGGTGCCTGCCAGTGTAGCAATACAAACCTGTAATCAGACACGTTTGAATAACAACTACCTAATTCCACTGTGCCAAATGACAATTTCTTTATGTTATCCATTTGCCACAACGCCTTGTGTTTTGAATGTTTTCTTCAAAACAACAACTTGGAAAATTGACAAAAACAACTTTCAAGATTTAAATTTTGAAGTTATTTCTCTTTGAAAGAATCTTTCATTGAAGCAACTGTTAAACTGCTTGTTCAATTTGTATGAATGTGTCACTATGTTAGATTTCTTCCTTTTTTTTAAAAAAACATTCTATGACTTATAATTGCCACATATTAACACTCAGCTATTTGAACTCTTCAAAAATGTCAGATTGAATTCAGAAAATGTTTTTTTTTTTTTCAAGTATTAGATCAATATTTTTCTAGTGTGTTGGAGAAGGAATTCTAATGGTTCCAATTCTTCATTTTTTTCTATTTACAAACCTTATTATAATCTGGCACAGGGCCAGAAAAAGGGTGAGTGAAACTTTCAAATAAAGAGGACTTTTGGGGATTCTTGCTTTTTCTTTCTGAATTGAAGCACCGGTCACTAATGAACTTAGCAGTAAACTAACAAAAAAATTGATTAGATAAGCATAGGACCCCAATAGTAAAGCACAATTGATGTTTGTCCTCACAACACTTTCGTAATGTTCTGTGAGATGAGCTTTGCTCATAAGAAACCACTTGCATTCTTGTAATGAATTAATTTAAACGTTTTCTTCAGAATAAAACTTTTCTATTTTTTTAATTTTTATTTGTTTAAAACAAAAATTTCTTTATACAAGTCTTTATTTCAGTATAACAAATTATTGAAACTCATTTGAACTGAAATTTCTTTTCAAGAATATTTCAAGAAAATTCTGTTAAACAATACTGCTGTAAATGGAATAATAACAGGTGATAAAAAAAATTCTCTTAAATATTTCATGTGCTGAAAAATTCTCAGCCGGAGTGAAAAACACTTCCATCCATCCATCCATCCATCCATCCATCCACACACACACACACAAAAGAAAAAAAAAATTTAGATTTTGTCATTTGATCAGGTTTTGTTAATCAGTTAGTCTAAGAACTTTTCAGCATTTCTTTACACATGCAGCCTCCAACCCCCCAATACAGATTGTAGTGCAAGAATTAAGCTGATTGTCTCACAAGTCAATAAACTAATGTGGTAAGTTTAATTAACCTTTGTTGTCTCCTGATTTGGGCTTCGCAAAAGTGGAAGAGATGAGAGAAGTAGGCATAGTTACAGGAAGTAATGAGGGTTTTTTTATTATGGAGGTCAATAAACTAATGTGGTAAGTTTAATTAACCTTTGTTGTCTCCTGATTTGGGCTTTGTACTTGACAATAGTAAGTTATATCTTTTCATTTCTTTTTTCTTGGGGGATCCTTTATCCAACATTATTTCCTACTACTTGAAACATTATTTTCAGGATACTCATGTATTTTGTGTGTTTGTGTGTGTGTGTGTGTGTTCACACAAATTAAAATGTATCTCAATAAACTTAATACCTCAAACAAAATTGATAATAATATTATTGTACGTCAAAATAAGCATAATACTATTAACTTATACTATTGTAACCAAATGCATAATACTTACAAACATGATGAAACAACACACAAAAACATAATAGGTAGAAATGTTAAACTCATTAATAATAATAATAAACAATTAAGCTCATCATATATCATAAAAAATTTAAAACAATTAACCTCATAGACTCTAATAACCCTACAACCACATAACTAAATCCTCTACAAAAACACAATGTAGTTTATCAATTTACATGCCTGTTCAACAATTGTATCTCTGATACTAATAATAAACCCACTACATACATTGGTTTTACTACAACCATGCTCTCCCGTAGACTTACTGGTCACTTTTCTGATCTTAGTTCTATTAAACAACATTTTTTAAAAAAAAACATAGCCATGTACATAATATAAGGCAGATATTAGTTGATAACACAATAATACTCACACATACACACAGTAAAAAGAACCTTAAGATATTGGAGGCCATCTACATTAAAACAAAGCAACTCACATTCAACAAAATTACATTTCAAACTAGTCACAACACATTACATTGCATTGCATCTAGACAAATGGTTCTGTTGTTAATATTTCGTTCTCTCATGTCATACGATGTCATAGAAATGCATCATGAATTTACGGCCTGCATCTGCTTTTCCACAATAGTTATCCTTGCATAGCAATCTTCTATGTCAACATAACAAAATATCATCTTTGATGGTGAATATCTTTCTTTAAATGTCCATATAATTACTCTGAAGATGGCTCATGTGAGTCGAAAGATTAGATCAAGGAACAGCATAATAAAAAAAAAAATATCCAAATGTTGTACAATTTTTGTCTTTATTTTCTCCCAAAATTAAAGCAATTATACGAAGTTTAGAAAGGCTCATGATCAAACATAATAGACATTTGTTGTCTGTCATATTTAATAATATGTTTGAATAAATATCTGCTGCTCCAATATATATATATATACATAAACAGGGTGTCCATAAAGTTCGTATGCACTTTAAAAAATTTATAACTTTATTTGTATTTGCGATAGAAATAATTTGTAAAAAGGATTAGAAAGAAGTAAATCTATATTTTTTAAGGTTTTATTGAAATTTTATTTAAGTTTCCACATGTCCTCCATCATTAGCAATACAAAAGGTAATACGATTTTGCAGTTCATGGAAAACATTTGCCAACTGATTTACAGTAATGCCTGAAATCACATTAGTTATTTTAGCTATACTTAAAACTAGGTACATTAAACTTTGTAACATTTTTTACAGATTATTTCTATCGCAAATGCAAATAAAGTTATAAATTGTTTAAAGTGCACACGAACTTTATGGACACCCTGTATATATGTATATATATTTTTCTCTTACAATTGGAATTAAGATGCCATCAGTTACTGACCATTTTCACCTACAAATTTTAAAATTCGCAAGAGTGGAAGAGATGAGAGAAGTAGGCATAGTTACAGGAAGTAATGTGGGGTATTATATTATGGAGGTAGAAGTGGGAAGGGGGAGAGAAGGGGAACCTGATGACCTAACCTACATCTTAATGGTGACATCACTAAGTTTAACGGTAATCCACAGAAATTAATGAAAAAAACTAATTTATATAAAATATCGAGATAACTGAGTGAGATGAAAAAAAGATAATTCAGAATTATTGGTGTATTAAATTTGTCCATATATCAGAACTAAAAAAGCGTTTCAAAGATTTGGAGGTAATTTGAATATATGTGTGTATACACATGCGTCCATACACGTTAAGAACATCTCTACCTGTACAGCCATCTATACAAACATACGCATAGATACCTACATACATTCATACATACATACATATACTAGCCAACATGTATCTACATATAACCCTATGTTAGGATAAAAATATTTTCAAAGGGTAATAGAAGGAGTTAAGTTAAATAAGAAAAAAACCTTTAAAAATTTTTTTAAATGAGCCTTAACTAAACCGCAATTAAAGAGAATTATAAGATAAAAATGAAAATGTAATAAAAATTATTCTAAAGTATGAATGTATAACCATTAATTATCTCCCTTATATATATATTCCAAGGTCACTTCTTCAATCAATCCCATAATCTAACATGTATCGGTAAGGTACCGTTTAACACTACTTATTAAATTCATATATTAATGTATGTACCATATATTAAATATTAGAAAGCCTTATGATAATAGTAAAATCTGATTACTTAAGATTGGATATACTGAATGGTTCATAATAAATATATATAAGAATTATATATTTTTAAGCATTTCACCCCAAGGAAGGTGGGAAGCCACTAGCACTCAAGGGGTTACAGAGAGTTGGAGCGAGAGCAAATAAGAGTGATAGAGGAAAGGATGAAGAGAAGGATAGGAGACGTCAATTGACATTACATTTGAATAGTTGGAATTTATAGCTATCAGGTAAATAAGAAATGGGGAGGGTGTTCCACAGGTTAGAAGTGCGAGACATGAAGCTATTGGAGTAGAAGAGATGGCTACATTTAACAGTTTTGACAGTGAAAGGGTATGAGCGAGATGCCAGCCTAGTTGAACGCTTATGCATCGAAAGTTAAGGAGAACTCATATAAACTTCATAAATAAATGTTATTACATCATATTTAATTAACCTAACGATTATCTAATTGTTTATTATTATATCATAAACGATTGTAGTATAAATTTAATGCCTATATATACTGGAAAATAAAGGATAATTCAATAGAGAAACTTAAAGATGAGGAAAAAGAAAGAATCTATAAGGAATATTAGGACAAAGGAAGGAAAGAGAAGGGGAAATTTTAGTGGGGATATTATTGACAGTCACCAAGAATAAATAGTACTTAGTGATAGAGGAGGGATATTTATATGGATGGAAGCAAATGGGAACTTGGCAAGTGTATATAAAGAGGGGAGGAGAAGTTGGATGTGCTGTGTAATAGATAATTGATAGCAGTTCATTTACTTATTAAGGGATAATGGTTCAATCAAGTTTTCAAGTTTAGTTGGGACTGAGGGGGAGCAGAAATTCCCAGGTGAATGTCCACCAATGATAGGCTTGATGGTAAGTCTAGGTAAGCTTAAATCTACTGCTGTGACATCGTCTAGAAATTAATCAAGGAAAGAATTAATTTCTAAATGCCATATATATATATATATATATATATATATATATATATATATATATATAAATAAAGAAAGAAAGAACAGTAAGATATATAATCCGGTGTTCTTATAGATATTTTTATTTTTACAAAATAGTGCTCAATGTAAATTTACAAAGCATTAATATTATAATTAAATTAAAAGCATTAGTTCCATTTCATCCTCAAGTGAATTCGCTTGAGGATGAAATGGAACTAATGCTTTTAATTTAATTGCAAAATTAAATTCGGGGGTTTTAGCTTCTATTTTTGAAACATGATTAGAAATGTGTAGCGGAAAAAAACATATTTTAAATCAATTAATTTATAAAATATATATATATATATATATATATATGTGTGTGTGTGTGTGTCTATAATTACGTAATTGTTCCTGTAACTATACCTTCTTCAGCCATCTCTTCCACTCTGTCACCTCTGATGTTCTCTCTCTCTTTCCTTCCCCAACAAACCAGTCCCCTGCTACAAACTGACACCATAAATGGTTTGAAAAATCCTGCAAATTTTAAATTTTAAAATTCGTAGGTGAAAATTGTCATTAACCAATGGTATCTTAATTCCAATTATAAGAAAAATTTTGCTCTGTTTAATGAAAATAAACATTGAGCACTCTTTGTGAGTCAGTTTTAACATTTAATATTTCAAATTCTATATTTTGCTAATAGGACTCGCTTGGATTATACCGACGGATTACTACCCGTGTATAATATATATATATATATATACACACACACACACACACACACACACACACACACAGACTCTTATATACACAACTTAATCCGATTGCCAGTCTTCAATGAGCCCTTGAAAGTTAAACTTGATGAATTTTAACCAAATTTGTTTAAAACCAAACTATTAAACTACAAAAACACATAGGGGGAATATATTATTAAAGTTGCTTAATTACCTGTGCTTTACTTGGGTGGGGTGCTCCTTGAAATTCTATGGTTCCATATGCATCAGTTGGCTTGACCTCGGTGTGACGGAGCGGGTGCCACCGTTCTTCTGTGTAATCAGCACTGATTTCTCGAATCAGTGTCCCATGTCTTTCTTCTTCACGCCCACAGCAGCATCTGTAAGATGAAAAATAGAAATAACTAATAAATATGACAATGATAATTCCATCTTCACCGTACACATCGAGCTAATCTGGTGGTAAGGAAATTTCGTTTGCAGATTTTGGAACATTAAAGATATTTAGAAACTGCAAAAACTTTCCTTCCAACCAAATATAAAGAGGATGACCAAAGTATTAAAGTAATACTTCCAAGATAAGAGATTTATATTAAAATATCTCTTTTTTTGTTATTAAAAAATTTAAATATTGACTATAGCCAAATCAAGACAAGATGTTTAGACATAGGTAACAATCAATCTTTTTAATTCCTATTTTCATCTGATGATTGGAGCATTGCAGATCAAAGTAAATGTATGAATAAATTTATGTATGAATATACAGCTTGATTTTTTTTTTTTTAATCATTTCACCCCAAGCTAGGCAATAATGTCACTAGGATGCAGAGTGTTACAGCAAGTAAAAGAGACTTTAGTAAGAAGTGATGAAAAGACAATAAGGGAACAGGATTCAAAAAGACAGAAGATGGTAACTGACATTGAATTTAAATTTTTGAAGATTCTAGGCAACAGGGATACAAGAAATCCAAAGTTCCACAGGTAATAAGTGTGAGAAAATAATATTAAAATAGAAGAAACGGTTGCATCTAGCTAGTATAACCTAGTTGCTAATCTAGTAGCACGCTTAAATTCATGCAGTCGTGACAACAAGGAAAAAAGCTCATCGGAACAACTGCCATGAAAATATTTGAAAAGAAGACACAAGGAAGGCATGTCACATTGGTGAGAAAGTGAATGAAGTCGAGATGCCAGGTCAGAATCAATTATACAGACACTTCTTTAAATGAAATTACAAAGTGTACAACTGGAAATATTCCTGCAACCTAGCCAGAGATAATGACAACCAAAGCTTTGTGATAAAAACTATAAAGCCAAGGAATTTAGTTTGAATGAAACAAAATCTTAGCCACATACTACTAAATTTTTTATCTCAAAGTTAATTAAACTTTATTTAATAGTATCTTGCATATAATAACCCTCTTTAATCAGAAATCTATGTCTTAATTCAATATATAACTGATTAAGTTTGTTCAAAAATATTTTTAGTCAAAACTTGTAAAATTCATCTGTTAAGAGAAGGATATTTTAAAAAATTGTTTAAGAGAATTATTTAATCTGCTATTGAAAAAAATGATCAAAGCAAACATAGGAGTAAAGGTAAAGACAATGGCTAACTATAAGCTAAAACACTGTCAACATATAGTTGGTTCAAATGCAGTTGCAACAATATTGATTTCTTTTTCCTTAACATATTTAAATAATAAAAGTTATTTTCAAAAAACAATAAGTTCTTTCTTTTCTAAGCTTTATTATTTATTATCAAAAATATGTAATTAATTTTGAAGCAATAGTCATAGCTAAGAGCAAAGTGTGTACACACATTGGGAGAGCAGAAGGGGTAATATATATGACAATAGACATGAATATCAATTGGGTTTCAAATTTCTTGAGAATTACTGAATTTAAATTCTGTGGACATCTATGAAATCTGCTAATGTTTAGAATTTCTTAAATTGTAGGATTACAATGTTTTTATGAATGCTCGTAGAAAGTATGTAATTGTTTCAGGTTTTTTTTTAAACAACTGCAGTGTTATTTCACAAAGTCCTACATCTATTTGCACACTGAATATTTAAAGACTTTTGTAGATTAAAATGTAATTACAGATTTAAATAACAAAAAAAAGAGAAAGAAATCTGCATCATAACTTGCAGATTTCATACTGCTTCTTCAGTGTATTCTCCCTTGTAAAAGGTTACATTGACGATGTTGCAGTGCTTTACTTATATGGAAAGGCATTTCCATAACACTTATAGAGGGAGCTGCATATTGTCATGATTTGGGGGCGGCAACATTTAGATAACAATAACCAAATGATAGCATTATTAAAATATAAAATAACAACTGGAACCATTTGCTTTGCTATATTATTGTTTTTTGTTTTGTTTCTTTGATTTTATTTATTTTTATGGAAACTTTGATTCTAATAAGCAGACTAAATAATTTAAAGTAAATTAAAAATGAAGTGCATGGAACTGATGAGTTTTGATAACACTGTCCATGGGTATAGCTTCCTCTGACTTTTTCAATGACCTGCAAACAGTGTACATGATGAGATATAGTATTTGACAAACTAACATTGATAACTTTTCTGGTCTAAATAAATAACTGAAAAGCTTCAATGATCTTTCCCAGCTACTGGCTGTTCATCATGAGGTTTATCTAGAACACGTTATACAACTTTTCCAAATTTGTATGACTATATGGATATTTGACAGTGAACATTTGCCTTTCAATCCTATTCATTCAGGGGTCAGCCTCATAATTCCAATGAGAAGGAATTGTTAGCGAAGTTCACTGAATGTCACAAAAATAGAAAGAGAACCATAAAAAAGTTTCAATGAACTAACAATTAAAATATACACTGCATCTTATCTATTAATAGTAACATTTATTTAGTATCAACAAAATAAATAAAAGTATTGACAGAGTCCCAGAAATTATTCAAGACTAATATCTTCATATTTGTTTTTATGATAATATATTACTTGAAGTACAATGAAGAAAATAGAAAAGGTGATCATGTTAGTCAAAAAATTATATATATATATATATATATATATATATATATATATCTCAAATAGTAAGAAAATAGATTTCAATTGGTTAATCCTACGGGAAGTAGAAATGCTGTAGCTGCATCACTATTGGTGCTTATAACCATAGTAACAATGTAGATAATAGTGCCAACAAGGATTATTATTTTTATTATTATTATGAAAATAGCATAACAGTTGTGATGAAAGTGGTAGATGTCAGAGCAGAACTAGACGTATAGGTAGTATCATATCAATGATTTTAAGTGGCAGTGCATAGTTGAGGGTGGTTACGGAAGTAGTAATAGTGTCAGCAACATGAAATTTGTAGTTTCCACTAAATCATGTATATAAGAAAGAAAACAAAAAGAAAAAGAAATGAAAAAGAAAACGAAAGAAATGAAAAAGAAAATGAAAAGAAATGAAAAAGACAAGAGAATAGAAAGAAAAAGAGAATAGAAAGAAAAAAAAGAAAAAAAAGAAAAGGAAAGAGAAGAAAAAGAAAAGAAAAAGAAGGAAAGAGAAGAAAAAGAAGGAAAGAGAAGAAAAAGAAAAGGAAAAGAAGGAAAGAGAAGAAAAAGAAAAAGAAAAAGAAAGGAAAGAAAAAGAAAGGAAAGAAAAACAAAGGAAAGAAAAAGAAAACAAAGGAAAGAAAAAGAAAACAAAGGAAAGAAAAAGAAAACAAAGGAAAGAAAAACAAAAAGAAAACAAAGGAAAGAAAAACAAAAAGAAAACAAAGGAAAGAAAAACAAAACAAAACAAAGAAAAAAAAAAGAATGGATAGATTTTTCTAAATCACAAGGAATATAAGAATAATGGCCATTATGGACTGACTCATGGTCAGCATGGGATGACTCATGACCAAAGGAGTTGTGTGTTTCCCACTGGTGACTGATCAATGTTTAAATTTACATAAAAGTCAGAATTTCGAATGATGACATTTGGAGTTAGAAGAGGATCTGAGTAGCACAATCTTTCAACCAATCTATTCAGCCGACCAAACAAGCAAAAAATACAGTAAAGTGATTCAATTCTTACACTTGACAGTGTATTTTAGTTTTAAAAAAAAATAACAATTCCCATTTGTGACCAGTTTTAAAGAATTAATAAGGCTTACTTATGAAAAACATTTTTCTTTTCCATCTTTTGAACAAACAACAGTTCCTTTTTTATTGATTAAATATTCTATTTTATAAGTTTTCAATATTTTAAATAGATATTCCACTTTTCAGCTACTTATTGTAAGAAACTTTAGCATTGAAGGTTCAATTAAATTGCATCAATAATAACAGAACATCATCTATGTACCATGAACCTTCAGGACATTGGCAATCATGACTCTCCACAATTTTCTGTTCTTTGTAACTCTTAATAAATTTTGTACTTTTGTTATCTCTCCTAAACCCTGTTCTATCATCCATTTACTCAAGTTAACTAGGTAGGTTACATAGTGTTTTGTTCTATCCTCTTGCCTTCAATATGTCCTGTGGGTAGCATATTTTTCAAGCCTTCTTTCCTCATTATGAACCCTAAAAGTTTCAACTCCCTCTTTCTGATGTTAAATGTGTGTCCTTTTCTGTTTCCATATTCTGTAAAACTTCATCATTGCTCCCATATTTGGTTCATAGTATCCTAAGCATCCTTCTGTAAACTACATTTCTGTTGCTTCAAGTCTTTTCTTCATCTTTGAGGAGATTGTACCGCATTCACTACAACTGTTAAATTAAAAGATTTATATATTCTTCCTTCTTTTTCTTCCATTTCCTTTAGATGAGGAACTTTCCAAATTGATACGTTGACACGTTAGTCTAATTAATTACCCATTCATTAATTATTAACTGAATTTTTCATTTATTTCTTTTTATACAAATTTTGAATTATATTTTTTGCTTGGCTTGATAATGCCACAAAAAAATTTACTTTTTAAAAAATTTTCACAAAAGTAAAAAGTTTGGAAAGCTTTCACCCTAGAGGGTATTTTGCTTATTTCTGGTAAAAGCATGAAGCAGTAAAAAGATAACAGCCCCTCCCAATGGCCATCCCACAAAAAATACCATTTCTGTACTCTGTCCTATTGACAAATATAACAAAAAAGTCCTCCTTCTGACATTCTGCAATGCCTGATCGATTGGTTGCTTAACTGATTTTACAACGTCAACCTTTAGTATCTGTCTATATTTCTGAGATGAGGTATTATGTACACTATTTGCATTATTTGGACTATTGTACTCATCTTTGTTGCCATATTTATTACAACGTTTTGACCGTTGTACACTCCAGCCTTCTTCAGGTGGTTGGAATGTCAAACTTAACCCTTTATTTCGCTCACTTGGGTAGACTGT